GCCAACCGTAAGGTCCGATTCGCTTGCAATTTGGAATGTTGGAATTGTTAGAGGAAGGCCTACACAGCCACCAAGTCTCATGGCCGTAGCCCAAATACAAGGCCGGCCACCAAAGTCGGGAATGCATTAGGCCTTTTTCGCTTCATTTTCTTCTTTTTTTCATATACGTTTGCGCTGAAGTTTCTAAAAAAAAAAACGGGTGCGACAATTGGCACTGTGTGCCAACCGTAGGTCCGATTCGCTTGGCAATTTGAACTGTTTGGAATTGTTAGAGGAAGGCCTACACAGCCACCAAGTCTCATGGCCGTAGCCCAAATATAAGGCCAGAAAGCTGCATCTGTACTAAGGGTGTAGTACTTAAGTACCAGTACCAGTACTTGGCACATTATGCCAGTACCATTACCAGTACCAGTACTAGGATTTTAGCTCGGTAACTTGCAGTACCAGTACTTTTTTTGGTGAAGTAATTAAGTATCAGTACCATTACTTTTATATATTCATCTAAGTTTGAATAAATTTACAGTCTCAAACAAATAATTGCAAATATTATTCAGCAAAGAAATAAAAAATCATTTACTTTAAAAGTTAACATAACATATTTACAACTTTATGGTTTTAACATACTTTTTACCAAAACAATATTTACAACATATATTCATGTCATATCTAATTGTTTAGTAACCAGTCAAGTGTATAAATACAATGTACAATGCAAACATCTTTCATTTAAAACACAACAGTCTTTTGTTGCCTTTCACACTCTGTTCAATTTATACCAAAGTAAATGACAACTTTTTAAGGGTGCTACCAATGTCATTTTTTTTCACTTGAAAATGGGATTATTTAGAATAGAAGAAATTAATTACTGTTTTTTTTGCTCTTTTACTAGTAAATACAAGTAAATAAAAGATTTTAATAAGGATTTTTTAGGGTAAAGAGTAATTGAGTCTGTTTATTTACTTAAAGTCTTTGGTGCTTTTTATGATGAATACTATGTTAACATTTGAAGGAATATTGCAGCAAAATTATCTTTAGATTTGATAACTTTTACTTTTTTCACAAAAAATAAAATATAGTTAATGTAATTTACAGCTTTATTTTATGAGGGAAAATTGATGCTATTTTTTTTTAATTTTCTATCAAAACCAAAAAGTACTGGGTAATGCAGTAGCAGTACCACTTTTTTAAGACAGAATGCAGTTACCCAGTTACCAGTAGTAGCAAAATTTTGTAAGAGTAATTCAGTATCAGTACCAGTACTTGCAAAATTGCTGCAGTACGTACTGCAGTACCAGTACAGTAATGCAGCTCTGTACAAGGCCGGCACCAAGTCGAAATGCATTAGGCCTTTTTCGCTTTCACTTTCTTTTTTTTTTCATATACGTTTGCGCTGAAAGTTTCTAAAAAAAAACGGGTGCGACAATTGGCACTGTGTGCCAACCATAAGGTCCGATTCGCTTGCAATTTGGACTGTTGGAATTGTTAGAGGGAAGGCCTACACAGCCACCAAGTCTCATGGCCGTAGCCCCAAATACAAGGCCGGGGACCCAAGTCTGAATGCATTAGGCCTTTTTTCGCTTCATTTTCTTTTTTTTTTCATATACGTTTTGCGCTGAAAGTTTCTAAAAAAAAACGGGTGCGACAATTGGCACTGTGTGCCAACCGTAGGTCCGATTTGCTTGCAATTTTGGAATGTTGGAATTGTTAGAGGAAGGCTACACAAGCCACCAAGTCTCATGACCGTAGCCCAAAATACAAGGCCGGCACCAAGTCGGAATGCATTAGGCCTTTTTCGCTTCATTTTCTTTTTTTTTTTCATATACGTTTGCGCTAAAAAGTTTCTTAAAAAAAAAACGGGTGCGACAATTGGGGCATTGTGTGCCAACCGTAGGCCCGATTCGCTTGCAATTTTTTGGGACTGGGGGAATTGTTAGAGGAAGGGCCTACAAAAACCAGCCACCGACCAAGTCTCATGACCGGTAGCCCAAATACAAGGGCCGGGGCCGACCAAGTCGGAATGCATTAGGCCTTTTTCGCTTCATTTTTTTTTTTTTTTCATATACGTTTTGCGCTGAAAGTTTTCTTTAAAAAAACGGGGGTAGCGACAATTGGCACTGTGTGCAACCGTAGGTCCGATAATTGTTATAGAGGAAGGGGGGGTAGGCCCTACAACAGCCACCAAGTCTCATGGCCGTAGCCCAGAATAATACAAGGCCGGCACCAAAGTCCGGTAATGCATTAGGCCTTTTTCGCTTTCAATTTTCATTTCTTTTTTTTCATAATTACGTTGGGCGCTGGTTTTTTTTAACCTGGTAATATATATGTGTACGGCATTATGACCTGTTTCATCTAAAAGTAATTAAAACTACACGGATTAATAACGATTTTTCACACATCATTTCACGCTGATCAAAAGATTGGCATACATTTCTATTGTTGCGCATTATATTTGTTTGCAAGGAAACAATATAATTGTTTGTAATTACTGTACAGCTTTGTGGTGATGACGATAAACAAATGCTAATGTGTACATGCAAATAAAATAGGATAATGTGACTAATAGACTTTGATAGGAAGAGTCGCAGAAATTAAATCACTTTTTGTCCAAAGAATGTGCCGCAGAAATAAAGTCCGCAGAAATAAAAACATGCCAAAATTAGGAAAAAATCGCAGAATTTGGAGCCCGCAGAAAAAACCACTTATACGGTATATGTGTAAAGAAAAAACTAAGAAAACTTCTTTTAAAACACCCAACGAGCCAGACCTTAGATATTTAGCATGAAACATTTTCTAATGGGTGTCTACCAAATTTGTTCAAATGAAAGCCCTGGGGTTTAAACTGGCCCCGCTCCTGTGGCCTATATACAGGTGAGCGACTTCAGGGCCATCATGGCCCTCTTGTTTAAAGTTTAATCGACACCATTGTGGATTGATAAAATGCCGAAATAAATTATCATTGCCACTGTGTAACAGGCATTGTGTATTTATCAATTTAATCTGTTCCTGTCAAAGCACGCCAGTAAGCTCAGTAAAGGACTTTGAATCTTATACGAGGTACACATATTTTCCACAAAGGAAAAAAATCATTATGACTGAAACATTAAAAAAATTCTTACAAAAATATAACAGGCATACAACTGATAGATGAATAATAATTTGAAGGATTAATATACATGTAGTTTCTTAATGATAATAATTGTTGACATGAGCACCTGTCTGATTGTTAAGGAAGTGACAGCTAGAGTTTTGCAAAATTTGAACCTGCAATAATACAAGAAACGTGCGAATTATAAATCTATTCTGATTGACAGTCAAAGAGAAACACACTAATCAGTATGTACTTGTTCACGTGACTTAATAAAAAAAGCGTCGTCATGTTTGTCACTGTCAGTTAGTACCAGTTTTTAAACACATCTTTTTCTAAATTTTAAAAGGAAATCTTTATATAAATTTATGCACGGTATTATATATAAATACATATAAAACTAAAATGTGAAATTTTTATGACAACTTGATGTAACGTTTTTATATTCTGATGTGAACGACTTTTATTTGACAACAAATTTGAATCAAGTCCTTTTTATACTTTTGAAAATGTGACATTTATAAGCATAATCTGTTTACATATTACTCTCAATGTCAAACATTAATTAAATATGTAACATGTAATACGCATTTTAATAAATTAATATACATGTACATTGTACTGTGTTTTACTTATAGAGACTCGAAAATAAATGCAAAATATATGTAGATAATATTGTTTTATATAAGACATTAATAAAAAAAACATTATCATTCCTCCAAAATATTATTTGAAATTTGTGAATTTAATTCAAAAATTTAGAATATAATCGAGAAATGCAATATGCTCGACTCTAAAATAAGACAGGTGGACGCTATTTCGAGCCAGACTTCATGGAAATAAGAAAACAATTGCTCTTTACATTATTACGATTTAATTTAGAAAGTAGTACAGACATGTTTTCTTTTCTTGGAATAAGGGGGGGGGGGGGCATGTTATATGTGGTATATGAATATGCGGGCACATTAAGAGTGGGTGTAGTAATACGTTTAGTAAGTAGTTCGGCCGTCAAACGTTGTCAGGTGATGAAACCACACAGATCAAAGTGGCATTGCTGTATACATCATTCACACAACTACAAGTGGTTAGTATTTAACCATTTTACATTTTTAATGAAGCCTGTACACAAATTCAAAATTTCATCACGATTCATGTGACTCATTTGAATTTCAACGAACGTGCATGCCACAGTGCGTGAAACCAGTTAATAAGAAGCTACAAAACTTGTCAGTGAATAAAAAATACATAAACAATAATAGAATAATTTATATAAAAAACATCGTCGTGTCTTCATTTCTCTGACACTCCATTATGACGTTAACGGCTCAAGATATAAAAGCCAGTCGTCCATCTCCCATCTCAAAATTTTCAAACAGTTGAATTGTGTAGCTGTGAAATGTGAAAGAGAACAAGAAAAAATAATACATTTAGTTTTAAAACAATTGTTATATTTTTATTTTCATAATTATAGAAATAAAATGGACATTAAAATTAGCGGACTATTTTTTGTTTGCGTAGTAATACACGTAAGTGATGGAGGAATATTGATGAGCTCATTACGGAATGTACAACGACAACAATCCATGCCAACTGATGGTATGAATTTCATACAAACACAAATCCATTACTGTAGTAGAGAACCTGATTTTTGATCAATAAGTACTGTCATTTAATGCATGAAGTCATATTTGTATTTTTTACGATTGATAATTAATATGTACGTGTGTGTTGTTGGTTCTTAATACACATGTTTGCAAGCACTGGTCACCAAAAATTGTAAGGCAATTGCTGTTTTATTGTCTCAAATAATAAAAATAATACTCGCAAGTTAAGACTTTCACTATTGCAGCTTACAACGAAGATGACTGGGAATCAGTATACAGAATTTATCAAGGTGATGACTGGGATTCTCACGATGACTACCTCAGTCAGGAAAGAACGGCACGGTACGGGGATAAAGACGATTCCCAGTTCCGTAGCTGGAAATTAGACCAGTGGCATCATAGCAAAATACAAAAGGTAAACTTGCCTTGGTACTTGGTAGAGCGTATGAAAACTGGTAGCAAATTGAAGAAGAAAAACAAAAAAACAAAACTAAACTTATTAGTCCGGAAAAAATAACATTGAGAGTGAAAGTAATTACAAAATATAGAAAATGGAGGAACACAGTTTAGCATATGTAAACTTATTTAGTTCAGTACAGGAGCTATAGTGCATTTATTTGATATATGATAGTGGCTGGTCCTTTGAAGTGAGAGTCTGCAATGCGAAGTAAAGTAACAATTTAATAGGCGAAACCGTCTCGTATCAGCCTGTAACAGAAACCTGTTTTTTGTTGTAGTGACTTCTAGAGATGAGATTTTATGATTTTTAATAAGTTCATGAATGTTAAGATCTTCCTAGTCGTGTAAATAAGACGTTGCTTGCCGGTATTTAACATGTGAATTTAAGCTTTCAAAAGCGCGTTATGTCTAAACCATTGGTCAAGCCTTGCTAAGAGTATTTGATGTATAAATAATCAGAAGGTAACATACACAATAACAAAATATAATAACTGAATAAGATGTGAATATTGAAATTTAAAAGGACTACTTTAATCTTGCCGAATAACTAAATCTGTGTTATAGCATATTATATACTAGTACATGTATATCAAACATATTTTGTGCATGTTTTTTATACATCTCGACACATGTGTTGTTACTGTAGTTTCTGTTTTAGGTTCGTATAGAACTATATGACGATGGTGACGAGGTAGCCGAGTTCGAGTTTGAAGGCGTGATGCAAAATATGACAAGTTTCTTCAATCCCAGAAACCTCCGTAAAACAACTTATGTTGATATACCAGTAGATGGCTCACCTTTCCTGGGAGATGACTTTAGTTTTGACGGGTAAATTCGCTTTCAATCTGATATGTTTTCTTTATCACAGTGCGTGGCGCATTGAGAATACTTTTTGGTCAATTGCTGACATGTTGTTTCATTTTTTTCTCATGATAGACATCTCTCGAGATATACATACATACTCTATTTACTGTTAATTGAAAATTTATATATAATTTAATTACCAAAACTGACAAACACATTATTTTTAATGTTCTACAGGACAACTCTTATCTAGTGATTTAACTGATACAGTCGCCATATTATCAGTAGAGGAGCATATGTTTTATTGAAATATTGTTTCTCTGTGAAAATACAAACATAGCAACAGTGACTGTTGTTTTAAATAAATACCTTTATTACAGGGATGACGATGCCCGTCACTGGACCGTCAGTTCCATACATCGAGGAGACTGTCGTACTGACGAAGGTTGGTTTCAGGTTTTAGATAAACCTAAACCAGGCCGAGACCGATGTGTATGTGGATATGAGAATGTCAACAAATTCCCTACAATTATGTACGCTAAAGGGAATAGAAAAACCAAATGGAGTGATCCGCGCAAGTTTTGTTTCATTTATTCTTTTTGTATTAAGGAGAAAATGATGTTAATATTGGAAACTAAATTATTTAAAATGTATAAATATATATGATATATATCAAACAAGATTATCCACTGTTTATGCACAAGTCAATTGTAACTTCGATCCCTTATTACCAGGGGATAACGGGAACTTTTACTGTTGGGTGTCCGTCCCCTTGTATCGGAATCGGTCAGATAGTGAACTTCCCGCTAAAAGACCGGGACTGCGATTTGAACTTATTCCGGACACGCATATTTTTACATCATAGGAAAACCACTACATTGCCCTGGCAGTACACAGACAGGCAAGAGGTAAAATGTCGCTGTCTCAATTCCCTCACTCGAGGTTGATGGGTGTGGTTAAAATTAGCTCTTGAATAAGAAAATATTGTTTTGTCTGAATATCATTCCCGGTGTTAAAAATCCATACACGAATTCAACGAGTATATTTTTAACATAAATTTATGAACATAAACATCATTGCAGGTAACGTTGGTTATGCAGACATGATGCAGATTTCTGTAAGTCACGTGCCGTACCCAGTTGCCGTGCAACCAGTTCCCGTGCAAGTTCCACAAGTACCTCAGATGTCACAAATGGGTCCGATGCAGCTCACTCAGGTACCACAGAACCAACAAACACAGTTTCATATTCAGGGTGTTTATAATCCATTCGAAACAAAGAAATAGAAGTGTTTGTTGAAAGACCTAGGTTTAAGGACTGTTTCTGATCCCTCGGTATGACGCCTAGTGACGACCAAGTAGAACTCCTGCCATTCTTATTTCAACATGAATGTAGAGTTTGTTAAAACGTATTAAATAAAGTAATATGTTTGTTTATTTGACACCTTTTAAATAATTTCTGTACATATCAATAGCTGTAGTTGGGGGGCTTATCTGTCATCAAAATTAATTTACGTCAATGCCATAAGGAATCCAGTGCTTTAGGAAAATGTTTATCTGTACTGTTAACCAATGCTCTAGTGCTTCATAAGACGATAACTCATACATATAGTTAGTTTGTGTAAGTGACGGTTGTGTCAAATTACTAAATTGGATTTACAATTTTATTTTGAAACGACGACATTTTTGCATTAGTTGCAAAGCTGCATCACAAGTACGCCAAAGATTTCACCATGATAAGAGCAAGCTTGTTCAAATTATGACACATGGGTCAAAATTGGTCTGGCCCTATAGGGGTAAATAGGTTTTATAAAGTCTCCTAAAAGAAAATCATGAAAATCGTCTTTTCCATAACTGCAACACCTAAATGTGAAGCAATGTACTCGTATAGTAGGCGACGACAATGCTTGTTCAAACCATAAACTTGAGGAAAAATCGTAACAAATAGGAAAACATTTAAAAATATCCTTCTTTAAAAAACTGTTTGTTGGCTAGTGTGCAAACCGCTAACATATAATAAACATTTTGTTAAAATTGGCCCCGCCATAGAAGCAACTTGATTTTACATTAACCCCATATAGAAAAAATCTTTACAAATTTCCTCTATAACTGCCAGATCTAGAGTTTCGATATTCGGCGTGACTTAATTTCAATCAAGTTTGTTTAAATTATGACCATGGAGTCAAAATTGGTCCCACCTGGGTGTCACTTATTTCTACACACATACACATGTTGTCTCACTTAGGAGAACCTTTAATAATCTTGTTCTCAATTAACAACCAAATGCTTAGGTATTTGCTATGCTGCAATGTAGCCTATATAATGAAGGACTACCAATTTTCTCCAAGTTATGGCCGTTGGATTAGAATGGTTCTGGTTCAAGAAATCACTTGATTTTTGCACAGCCCCATATAGAAAAAAACAACACTTTAATTTGACTGCCATGGGTCGTTTTTTCTACGTTCCTTACTCTTACCACAGATTCAAATAAAATAACTTATCCGCTTTAAATTTTTTCTGCAGGGTTTTGGAACACACTAAGTCCTTATGGAAATAATATTGATACGGCTGGACGTACAGTACAGTTAATGAAGAAATAGAAGTAAATTTCGACAAAAACAAGATTTACATTCGAAATTATGGGCGCCGCCATTAACATGATCTAGTGTTAACAGCACGATAAAACATGGAATTGTAATATAAGACAAGTACATTAACTGTATACATGTTTATAAAAATAACATTAAATTAGTTCAGATCTTGCAGTAGTGCCTGAACTGTTTACAAAGTAGCCTGTGTTAACATGTTTGTTCAGGATGTAAAATATATGCTCTTAAACACGTTTTTAGAAAACGTTTTTTGATTCTACTGAAAATAAATCTTTTTTGATTTTTATTTTTCAGTTTTTTCAAAACTGAAATTCTATTATTGTAAAGCAGTAGTGGAGTTAGCAAATTAAGTAGATCTACATGTCTATTCAAATGAATTTTTATACTTTATTCCTGGCGAACTGTTACTAAAAACTTACACAAACTAAGTGTTTATATGATTATATCTTTTAACAAATTTAGTACGGATTTCATAATGCTGATTGCAAGGCTACAAGCAAATATTTATGAAAAGCAAATCAATCCTGATTATTTTGCATATTATAGCCTTTGTCTTTCGCGTCTGTTCCTACCATGGGCATAATCTCCTAAATTCTACTCACATAGATTATGCGCAGATATTTTGGGAAGGGTCAAATGCTGTCGTGATATTTTAAAAATAATGAAGCTTTAAATGTCTAGTAAAAATATAAAACTAAGACAAAAAATATTTAAAATTAGAAATTAAATGACATAAGACTATAAAACAAAAACTCACAAACACAGTAACATACGTTGATAAGTTATATACAGTACAGTGAATCATTAAGAACACGAGTTTCTTACCACGTGGACAGATTTATAAAGACGTATTGGCGATCAAAAACACGGGTATGACAACTCAACAAAAATTTGTTTCTTTACTGTTTCTCAAATATTAATTAGATTTTTATGTATTAAAACTTCTTATTTTCATATAAGGAAGATATAAACTTTGGACTGTTTCTGTTTACTTAGAAAATATCACGTGTAAACATTTTTTATTGCTTAGAACATATTAAAGTTTTAAGTAATTAACGCTTATTAAATGTTTGTACTGTTTTCCCTCTGAACTTTTTTTTTCGACATAAAGTTTTCTGATTTGTAAAGAGAACGTATTAAGATTCCCATCTGATAAATTTCTTCACTTGTGTCGTCACGTGTGTTCTTAATGCAAGGTTGTCCTCGAAACCGAACGTCACCAATAATCTGTAAATATCAACATTTACAACTTATTATTTACTAAACTCAGATAATGTAAACATGACAACATGAGGTAAAGTAGGGAAACTGAGTAACGTGTTAGCCTAAGCAAACTTTTCTCCATAAGAAATTTTCTTGAAAGATTAAGTAAAACAACAGCTGGGGTTTACATGACATTCTGCAAACTAAACATGACATATTGACCTCAAATATAATCATTTTCTAATTTTGCTGCAAGGTACAACCACAATACTAAAACTTGCAGTTTGGTATCCAGTATTGGCTTATATGAGCCGCGTCATGACGAAACCAACATAGTGGGTTTGCGACCAGCATGGATCCAGACCAGCCTGCGCATCCGCGCAGTCTGATCAGGATCCATGCTGTTCGCTATCAGTTTCTCTACTTGTAATAGGGTTGGTAATCGAACAGCATGGATCCTAATCAGACTGCGCGAATGCGCATGCTGGTCTGGATCCATGCTGGTCGCAAACGCACTATGTTGGTTTTGTCGTGACGCGACTTATATGTTTTTAATTGTTTTACTTTACATGTATCTCTCAAACAGTGGCGACATAGGAACAAGGTTTAAAAGTGAGCTAAGCTAATACTGGCAGAATGTATCAACAGTGTTATCACATTGCTTTGTAATTTCTAATGACCATATCTGCAGAGAGCTTTAGCAAAACGTGTATCTTTTATTTAACACAGATGGACTATCTATGATAACAAGTTAAGATGTTCCGAATTAAAGTATTCATAAACAATATTTATCTGTTTTAGATATGTTGCTCTATGCACTTTATTGGGAAAAAAAACAAACAGTTTTTTTAAAAATTTAGGTATTTTGGTACGGTTTTTATAAAAATACAAAAAAAATATTCCAATATGCAAATATTCAATAAACATATAGCCCAATATGAAGCACTACTGTATATAAATCAAGAACAACAAATAAAAAAAACATGCACACATTTAATCACCTGATTATTCTTGACATACACCAGGACTTTGTCAGCACTAAGGTTCCCTACAAACATTGAACCACTATGCATTGTATCCAAACTCTGCGCAAGCCTATAGCTGATCTTTAGGACAGTTTTTGTTGTTAGTTTCATATTGCTGTCTATAATTGCACTGAGACTCATGAACTCTCCTGTTTGTCGTTGTAAATCGTGAAAGAATCGTCCTATGTTGAACGTCTCAAGTCTATGTAAGCCCATTTCTAAATGTAAAAGAATACAATATAAACATGCAACCAAACAATTAATATCAAACGGCCTACATTGGGGTTTTGTGACATGACGGGACTGGTAAATATTTTTACAATATTTGTGTACCATTTGATGTAGGCCTGAACCAATAACTTGTGTTCAAAATTTCAGATAATAATTATTCTTTCACCCCATTTTCCCAGAATATTTTTTTTAATGTGAAAATGACAAAAATTGTAAAGCGTTACAATGTCTTTTATTCAATTGGGCTAAGAACTGCATTTACTATCGATTTCAAAATAAATTCTGGGTATTTCTTTTTTCAGTTTTGAAAAAAGTCAAATTTAATGTTTTTAAAGCTTTTTAGTCTTAACGGAGCTTTTTTATTTTAATTGCACCAAAACATAATTGAAAACATGTATATTTATAACGGTATATACAATATAAACAAAAGAAGCAATACATTAAATATTAGTGTAGTTATTGCTTACTAATGTGTAATGAAATTAAAAAAAACTGAGCCAAATAGGAAGAAAATAGTTTATTTACCATCGATTGCAATTTTACTGTTCTGTTCATCAGTGTTTGGTGAAAATTTCTAAAAATAAAATAAAAATAACAAATATAATAGAAATGATATCACAGTTAAAATATCTATTTCGAACTTGTAATCCAGATTCGACAATGTTTTATTCATATAAAAGTGTATTTGTTACATTGTTTTTTCCATCTGTCATGAGTATGATACCTATCTGACATGGATTCAATAGTCATTTTGGCAAATTAACAGTTTCTTATTTCACAATCTCAAAAATATTCCTTCTCGTATATCATGTTGTATATGATTCAGCGAAGCACCAGTGAAGTTACTTCAAACGAAAGTAGATGTCTTGATTTAAAAAATATTTATAATATTCTAACAATCTTGAAAATTCAGGATCGTGTGGCTTTATTTTAAGAAATGAGTAGTCATTAATTATGTAACCCCATTTAAAGAATTTTCAACCTTTTTTCCAAGTATGGCAGTAAGCGTATAAAGTACTGGATTAAGAGCGGAATTAACCGGAAGTAAAAACACAGCTGACCATGCGTATACGTCGCCTGAAATCACGTGACCTTGTAACGCCATCATACCTAATGTAATATAAAACACCATTTTCTACAAATGGCTACAATGCTAGAATTTCTAAAAAATATATAAACCTAACATTATGATGATTCCGAGTTGGCATATGTCAATGGTTTTGGCTTTAAAAATTAAAATTTCGAAATTCAGTTAGAAACTAGATCTATCACAAGTGGTTTGCCTTAAACTACGGTGGAAAATCCCTAAATTTTAAGATATCAATGATATATGGTTTATGTTGCAAAGAGTAAAACTCCTAATGAGAATTTCATTAATTATAAGAAAAATCTATTACCCATTACACCAATAGGGAACCAACATAGAAAATCAGTAGCCACAACCAGTAAGAGATTCCTTTCTATTTTCAGGTCCTTATGTCGCTTTTGAAACAAAATTGCCGAATTCATTTTAGTAGCTTTTATTTCAAAAAATATAAAACTCTGACCGATAGCCACTAAAACAAAAGTTGCAAAGTTAAGTCCAACAAAAATTGAGACTGAGTACACCCAGCCAGGTAGTCTATCTCTGGTCAAAGGAAGAGCAATACAAACACCGGATTTGGAGTAGAATTTATCCTCAAAGTAGCTGACGTAAATGACTGGTATAATAGCAACGGTGATAGAAAACAGCCATGCTACTCCGGCTGCAACGTTTGCTCTTGTTTTATTTAACCGAAATTGTCCAAATGGGAATTTAACAACAAGTAATCGGTCAATTGTTATCAGACAAATGAATATTATGCTGGCTTCAGATGATATCGTTGACAGAACTCCGGCAATCTTGCACCATACACTACTTCTCCAGTAATCGTCCATAAAAATGTATCTGGAATCACATAACAACATATAGTTACATTTATAACAGTGGAATTCTGTTTGTTACATAAATTGGATACGATATTTTTTTTAACTCAGAATGTTGTGCTGAATAATTTTTACATGTATGTATATATACATATTTGTAGACTGAAAACGAAGTACAAATGTCTCAATTTCAACCAATATCCAAGACTACTTTTCTATAAGACTATAAAAAGAAAAAAGAAACAAGATGGTTAATTGATTGGTCAAAGAAATTTCGATTTTTTGAAAGAAATGTGCTGAAATGTCAACACCAATATCCTCTGACAACCTACGGCTTGAGCTTATGGGACAGGTTATAATTTTGAAACAACTATAATATTATACAAATACGAGGTATGATCAAAAAGTTTTCGGCCTGATACACTTCTAGCCACTACACTGACATTTACACACGAAACGTCGATACTAATATCTTATTGAAGATTATTTACCGAGTAAGCGCGGTTTTACACAGATTTAGTAACATTTAGACCAAATGTTGAAAGTTGAAATCAGAGCCGTCATTAAGTACCTCTGTAAGTAAGGGATGTCCCTCAAGGAAATCCATGAAGACTTCATGGATACACTAGGGAAGGAGACCCTTTCCTATAGCACTGTGAAAAATAGGCTGCTGAATCTAAGAGGGGTAGGGAGAGCATTGAAGATGATGAGCGGCCTGGGCGGCCAAAAGAGGCCTCAAACGATGAAATATATGAGACATTATTGGCAAATATATACTGTACATAACAAGTACAGACAGGAAAAAAACATTATTGCATGCTTTTACAGCGTTATATATATTCACATACTCGTACATGTATATTTTATATATTAGCATATACCTGTTTCTAAAGGCAGCGTCTGCTATCGCAACAATTATGAGGTACAGGCTCATAAGAAAGTCTGCTAACGCCAAATTTGTCACGAAAATTCCAAAGCCCAGTCTAAGACGTTGTTTATCATACTTCAGTCTATACACGATAGACAGCAGGTTTCCAAAGAAAGCTGTTAATCCAATAAACCATAACATGGTTTGAAGAGCTGACAACCTCATTAAATCATCGCAAGAAGAAAATTCGTCCTTAGAAGGTAGACAGTCCTCTTCTCTCAAGTAACTTGGTCGTACGCAACAAAATTTATATTCTGGTGTTCGTAACGTTTTTAGATTGAATACACCATTAAATATATCTTGATAAAATGTCGTTATGTCATTATTGTCGATTTCTAAAGTTTCAACAGATAAATCATTAAATGCCAATGGTTGGATTTCCGTGATTCTACCACCAGAGAGATTTAAATGAACTAATGATAGTCCAGCGAATGTATTTGGAAACAGTTTTCTGAATTTCCCTTCAGCAAGATCAAGACGTTTTATATTTGTTAGGCCTTTGAATGCGTTTGACTCAATCATAGATATGTCTGCATTACCTACCATATTTAGAATTGTTAAATGTGCCAAAGCTTCAAAAGTAAAATGACGTAAAATTTTGATTCTATTAAAACTGAGATCTAGTGTCAAAAGGTGACGCACGCTGTGAAAGGCAAAACGTGATATATTTTCAATGTCACAATGAGATAGGTTAAGTCTTATTAATCTTGCAATGTTAAGATGGGATTTGTCGGTGATCTTGTTTAAGTCTTTGTTGTAACTTAGGTCCAACTGGCGGGTAGTTTTAGATATATGTTGCAGTATATACATGCTGATGTTTCTATTTGAACAGTCCACCGAAAGACCAACACATTGACAGTTTGTAGGACATTTAAAGTTACAAAGTCGTTCGTCGTCTCCATGGATACATTGAGTTATACCGTCACAAATCTGATCCCCTTTGATCAAAGTTTTACTCGAAGAACATCTGAAACTTGTAGGCGTATGCATTATGGTTGATCCTATAAAAATAAAATAATCAAAACAATATTCCTGAGACAAAAATATCGTTATCTATACTAATTATAAATTCAATAATTATTTTTATAGGGTTAACATTGCACAAACACAGTATTGGTCAAATGGCGACTATCCAGCATTACTTGTGGAAGAAGACATCAGGTGCCCCTCTGTTTATTATTTCAGACACACCGACGTAGAACCACGGACGTTCCATAAGCTAGCTGAATAGCTTTCTGTCAAATTGATGACGCTCATAGTAATTAACATGTTAACCATGTGTAATCGGTGTGGATTTGTTTCATTCGTGCATTTTGAAAGGTATAACAACATCACTGATATAAGATATAACGGAGATTTGAGGATTTAAAGGATTACCTTCACAAATTTTGGAGAAATAACCTGCACCTATAGCTGACAACTCTTTCCATCTCCGGATAAAAACATCTCTTATAACAGAAGAGTCTTTTCTTATAGTTTTTATTATATTCGGCTCCTCTCTTATGCGATAGATTACCAGATCAGAGTTTTGGCTAGAACTAAATTCCTTTCCAAATATTTCATTTGCTAAATCATTGGTTTCGACGTTCGTGTCTAGAAACACTAATGCATTGGTAGCCGTTTTCGTAAAACGTAGAGAAGGTATAAAGCTTTCAGCAAGTATTTTGTATTGGCATTCTTCAAGACGTTTGACAACATCATCAGGTTGTAATTGCTTATCATTTATTTCAAGCTGTACTTTGTTTAAACTAAATGCTACAAGGGGACGTCTAGTTTCATAACTAAGAATTCGAACAATATTGTTTAAGTTGTAGAATTGCTTTGCAAAATGTTCAACTATATCTTGATGACTCGTGTAGAAAGGCTTGTTGACAAGTATGATGATTTCCGTGTCAGAACTATTGCAATCTGTAAACAAAAATAGTGAAAAAGGTTTATAGAACATTTAAAATTGGACATATTTTGTGAAAACAAAAGTGAAGATCTATGATGTTTGTTTTACGGCTGAATTATGAAAACAAAAAAAGAAGTGGTTGAGTCGGAAACGAAAATTGTTTATCATATTGTGATTATTTAATATCTCTTTAAATACAGGTACAATTTAGTATAAATTATGAGATGATCATAAAAAGGAAAGAAAATAATTTCATGCAAAGAATCTAGGTGTACTTATAGCGTACTACACATATATTCATCTTCTCCTCCAGGGCACTGTATTTCTCCATCACATATAAACTGTATAGGAATACAATAACTTCCTGGACATTTTGCCGTCGAATGAGGACATGAAAAGTTTCCTGCAGATAGATACAAATGTTTCTACGTTAAGATATATATTGATAATACTGCACGTTTGAAACGTCGCTTTTCATTGATTGGGTAATAGTGACTTTTATAAAGTTTTATATACACGACTACCGCCATATTTATGAAGAAATCTCACTTTCTTCGGTACAAAAGGAAGTTTCTGCTATCATAAATTCGTTATAAATATTCCTGACAGATTTTATGGCTATATATAAACAACTGTTTGAAATCTTACACTTACCTGGCAACTCGCGTTGTATTTCCAATCAACCGTTATAACTGTCAAAAATCGTTATTACTATATTTGATAATATATAGTAGTATACACATAAACTTAAATTATGACATCCAATAAGGAACTGTAGATCTATTTCAGCCTTGAAAAACTTGCAACATGGCAAACAATCACAATATAGTATAACAAAATAAACCGGACAATCAACAAGAAATGGCGGCCCCAACAAAGCCAAGCCAGACAGAACCACCGACACAGGCTTTTTATCTCTGTGGGTTCGAATTCCAGCAGGGACTTTGGATTCTTTTATGTGAGAAAGCTATCAAGCAATATTAGATTTTTCTTACGATCTCGTGGCGCTTTGTTAAATCTAACAACTCCATCAAACGCAGTAAAAGCGCCGTCTAGTGTGATAGGACCTTTACCAACCACTGACACGGAACCGCACAAGGCTCCGAATCCTGTCTTTCGGCAAAATGGAAATTATATTTACATTCGAGATTCCTCTGGGGGATTGTTCATTCAATATCGCACTTCCTTGTTCAATATTCTAATAGTTACATATATCAACTTCAACTTATCTTAAATATTGAGTATCCATACAAACCGCAGTTTTCTAAATGACTCCTGGATCTGCATCCTGTAACAAAGCCAGCAGCATCTTCATCATACACACATCTAAGCTCATCAGGTATTACTTTTACGTCTTTCTCACACACCAGTCCATCTTCAGTGTGATTGTATTCTACATGTTGAAAATATAACATTAAAAGTGGCGTTATTCATCAGAAGTCAATCAAATTAAATATGTAGAGTAAGCCTTTGTTCTACGGTTTCTTTTTTAGTTCGAACCATTGGTGGCATGCCGACTTACCTCACGACTGTTTTATGTCATTTTTCGTACATGACGTATCAAAATATCTATTTGGAAACATTGGCATTTACTTTCGCAAAAATCATACAAAGAAAAAACAACAAAAAAGAAACAGCAGTATTTGTACAAAATTCAGATACACAATTCATGTCATTGTCCCCTAGAAAAAACACAATATGAACAAGTAGGACACGATAAAAGAATAACATACAATATTTGTTTAAACTTTGAATAAGGTTAGTCTTAAAAGGGTATCTGAAATGTATACTCTTCTTAACTATATTTAAGAGAAACGATTATTTTTGTTTTTACTATAACTTTATGTTAACTTAAAATAAACTATGAATGAAAGAACATGCTAAAAGTATTGTATATGTACATTCTGTAAGTTTATTTACAGTACTTTTGTAAAGTTTTCTTAATGGCATGAATGGACATCAGACAAATTAGTTACTTAATAAACAATTATTAATATAAAGTGTGTTACATTCAAATGTTCCGTTCCGCTTAAGCTAGACAATGGGACGTGCACAAAAGCTTACATTAACCACTACAAGCTTCAATAAAAAGAGACTGCAGATTTTTTAAAAGTTTATCATGTTTTGCGTTTCATTAAGTTTTCCATTCTTTCTATTTTTGTCTTAGTTCAAATACGTATAGTGGTTTTAAACATGTATAACTGGCACTGTCCAAGTACTTTCCATCAAGTGGCTCAGACAATAAAACAGATGACATGGATTTATTTTTCTTTATTATTCATTATAATACTGAACAATTCATTACAGGATTTCAAAGTATGGATAGATGATATCACATTTTAAGAAAAACTGTCTAACAACCTAGTACCAGATTTAATGTCTGACAATTGCTTAAAAGGAAATATTGGAATACCTGATGCACATGTGAGATTTCCAACTTCGATCTGATACAGGCTACTGTGTGACGGCAAAAGTTTTATTGTTCGGAAGTATCCTGCCAATTTGTAAGTAAATATTAGCTCACCTCCGGCCGATATGTTTTCATTGCATGTGTTGTTTGTTCTAAAAATGGGTAAATTTAAACATAATTTTTTTTTAACTAATTATTATAATTTACTAGAATGAAAAAAAATGCATAATAACTAAAGGTGAACAGTCTTCAGCCAAAAACATATCGATTACGGACAAACCAATTTTAATTACCACAGACCTCTAAAATCAGTCGAAAAAAGTCAATTTAATATTATTAATAGATTAAAAATTCAAATGAGGGGGAAATATTCTGGATGTTTTCAAAAGGTCCTCTATGGTTCTATGCGTATTAAAACAACACACCGGTAAGCACCCCACTCCATAAATCAAACGGGAAAACATCATATGCTAGTAATCAAAATCCTACAAAAATGTAATGGTAAACAGTGCTTAAATATAAAGCATACCTGCTTTTGGTATTGATGGAACTTACATTTCTGTAGGTTTTGTAATAGTTTGTGTCAAACAAACACAGTCAACAGCTTCGAATTCCTGTCTTCTTTCATGATATGTCTCGATTGAGGTGTGCACATAGTCACATGATTGCTTTATCTTAAATAATTATAAGAATTAAATTAATACTAAACTTGAATATAAAGGGTTTCTTTCCTTTTTATTATTATATTTCATTAAAATTTTATCTTGTTGTTTTCTTGTTTTAAATGTATTATCGCACATTACATGAAGGCAGTACAAGGTATCAAAAACAAATATGTTCTTGTTGTTTCTTTTGCGAAATTACAACAGATGTTTATATTAAAACAGACGTTCTGCTTTTCTTTACTTATGTTATTTTCCTAAAACAACGTCTTACAACTTTGGCAGTATTACTGTATTAGTAATGAATGTTAATAAACTAGGTGACCGTAAATTTAACCACAGATTTAATCAAAACGAGCCGGCACCATTTTTAATTTTCCTGTGTTGGGCTTCCTTCAATATTTCCTCTTTTTATTACATGCACTTTCAATAAGTCTTAATGTGTTTATATGAGTACCTGCTGAATGCAATTGCCAGTAGCAAACGCCTCTACAAAATTAGCATCCGATTCCCTTTTGCTCTCTCTTACATACATATTACCAGTCTTTGTTTCATTGTGCCATATAATGTCAATATTGTTATATATTGTGTATATGACATTTGATGTATATATAGAGTTAAAATCACACAGAACGTTGATTCCATCTGCAAATTAAAGTTTTATTTGAAATATTAAACATAAACACATATTACTGGTGCATAATGCTGTACAGAAATGTATTCTTTATATACATCGATCATAAAAAGTAACAAAACTTTGCTTTACAATATTTGTACAAACAGTAAAACATTCATAAAAAGTACAATGTAATAGTCATGAAATTTGTTTACACACTACGGAAAATTTGGTCATCTAAATTTTACAATTCGTATTGTACCTGACTTACTTATAACATAAGGTCCTGTCTTCCTGAAACCCTTCCTCCACCACTGTTCACATGAGGAAAATGTAGGTTCCATACAAGAATTTTCGTCACTCCTATCAAGACAATCTGTGTATTCATCACAAATCAATCGTTTCGGAATACATCTGACAACATCGCAGTGAAATGCGAGGTCTTCGTTGCACGTTTCTGTTTAAAAGACGTGATGATATAGATGTAAATTGCTCTTTTTGGATAATGCAAAGTTGTTCGTAGCAGAAAATGCTCACCGCTATATAATACCACAAAATTGTTTATACAACAGAGATTTTATAACGTTATTATGTCGTAACTAAACTTCTACCTAATGCCACTAAAACATTAATACATGTAAAAAACTAAATATTTCTGCAGATATTATGAAGAATATACTATACATGTAAAAAAGTTTATAGAATGTAAAGCACATTAAATCTTATAGTTTGAAGAAAAGATTGTTAATGGAAAATACAATGAAATAGGAATAGTAAATTGTTAAATTATTCATAGTAGATTGTTATATAATTAATACCACAGAGTTGCTCGTCACTACCGTCCAGGCAATGAATGAATGCGTCACATCGTTGTATAGCTAATATACACTGCCCATCCTCACACTGATATTCGTCAATGTTACAGATGTCCCTTTCTGTAGAAAATGTTTAGATTTGATTTGCCAAATTAATAGATCAATTCATCATTCATAAAATGATTGATCAAAGTTTTTTATCATTTCTGACTTATAGGAGCTATGCATTTTTATATGGACTTATAATATATATAAGCATAAATGTATTACATAAAATATTGTAAGAATAACATGAGACCGTATTAATAGATGGTTTGATTATTCGTTTGTCTTAAACTCTTACGTGGCTTAAAGCTTAAGTGCTAGCTGGTGTTTAAGCAAGCATGCAAGACAATATCATCTAAGTATTCCATTGAAAATTCACATTATGCATCAGAAATGAATAATTTTTCGTTTTTTAGAAAATGCAAATAGGAGTTTTAATTATGAGTTTATAGCATTTTAGATGCTTATCTCTTGAAGAAAATAAAGCTGCATGTGAAATTATCTGTTACAAAAGTAGAAAAATGTAAACAAAGTAGTATTTTGACTATATTTTTACTTATTACCAAAAATGCAACATATGAAAAACGATGGTTCAAGTAGATCTATTTGGCCAATAAGTAAATTTTTTAGAAACAATAACAGGACACACATTTTTTTGAGAAATGAAAATAAAGCTTTCTGGGGCATAATGGGCCTTTTACATGCTGGGTGACAATTTAATTCATATTTTACTACCCTTACCACAAAATTCATCCGAAGCATCGGTACAATCTACGATAAAATCACAAATTTGGCTAATATGGATACAGTCTCCAGCTGTACATCTAAACTCGTCTTCTCCGCAGTTCTCTTCATCTAAAATATACACATGCACTAAATGTAGTACACCAGATATTGACATTGTTTTAATACGGCGGCAATGAAATAAAGAGGGATTCAAAACTATGAACTGATAATTGTTATCGTGTGTAGAAATGATTTTATAAAGCATGTAATGCGCAACTTAAGCAACTAAAATGTAGTACTAATCAAATTTCTATTGACGTTCTTAAGGGACCAATTCCAAGACCATGACCTATATCCCATTGGCAATGTTTGGATTGTAGAGCTCTACACGTACAAAATATTGCCTAATTGGAAAAATCACTCTACCAGAAATAAAACATATTGCCATAGGTTTGGTTTTTAAATTAGTAGGCGGCGGGTACAACAAAATAAAAAATAAATTGTTCCACAATTATAAAATGTATGCGTAGAAACTTTGAACAGACTTGTGGTGAAATAAATTAAACATAATTTCCTTTTAATATAACCATGTTCAATATATTCCACACTTCAATATCTTTAAATATATCATAAGAAACATCAGGTTACTTTACCTGTTAACAAGTATAAACAGTCCAGTTCATCAGACGCATCTAGGCAGTCTATCACACCGTCACATCTTGCTATCAGAGATATCCATTCTAAACTTCCACAATGGTACACCAAACCATGTTCAATAAACACAGCATCTAGCTTCACATTCTTTAGAAGGTAATGTTCTAAAACATATACAATTATTTTTAATCCTGAATTTATCTATTTGTTTATTTATTAACAAATATTAAGTGATATTTTTTTAGCATCATGCATGTTATCATTCGAAAGATTAGGGATTCTCAAGCATAACTTGCAATCCATTCAACATTTCATTATTATTACTGTATATGTGTATATGCTATAAACTGTCTGCTAGAATATCATGTTTTTTGTTTGATCTCGTTTACAATATTCCTATGGAATATTTTTAAAAAGCTTATTTCATAACATGTACATTGTGTACATTGTGTATTGACTTTCACTACAACATTACTTGAGTAATTTTGCCAACATCCTATCTCATCAGATAAATCAAGACAATCTATTTTTCTGTTACAAACATCTTCTTCGTTTATAACGTCTCCATTGGTACATGTAAACATTTTTCTTAAAACTGAGCCGTCACGTGATGATGTCTCGTGGTGACTATGTTCTATATTGAAATATAAATAGGAATAAATAGTATTATATCTCAAGCAAAGGTGAATATACATTGATAGGCATAAATATGAATTAATTTAGTACACACACAGATGATTATGAATAGTAAATGCACTAATATTTTTCACTTTCACACGTTACTTTAAGGTTCTGCTCATGTGACATGATATTATGGAGGGTGCTATCATGCTATCATTTTTTTGTGGTAAAGTCCCATAAAGCAGTATTGGAAATGTAAATACGCATTTGAAATTTTTCATTAGTTGCTTTTTTGTTATTAATATATTTTACGGTAAATCATTACACACAATTTATTTAATTAAACTATATTCGATTTATGTTAATAATTCAAATCTATTTTACATACCGAAGGGGAAACATGGCTCTCTGATCCTGTTTGTATGGTCAATATAACACCAGATGAAACCTTCATCAAACATGTCACGACAAAAATTATCTACAACTTCAGTTGAAATGCCGCTTCCAGCCTTGTCAGTTTTCCATATTTCACAATTCTTACCAGAAAACGTTGTATTTAATACTCTGAAGTCTTTTTGCGTAATAGTTGAACATCGATTGGAAATTGGGTCTGTGAAATGATTAAATACATGTGGATTAGCAATGATCTAAAGAAGAGTGAAACAAATGCTTAATTAATTCATTCATTATTTATAATCAGTAGCTGAAGTGATAATTTCACACTCTTTAAAAGGCATGTTAGGCATCAGATGTAAGTTCACTTCTTCTGCAAGCATGATTTTTATAAAATTTAAATAATGGTTTTAGAGCATGTTTGTTTGTTTCATTTTACGCCTTTTTCCAACAGTATTTCAGTCATATAGGCGGGTAGTTTCCTAACCATCGTTCCTGGAGAGTTTAAGAGTATGCTTACAACAAGAAGAAAGTAGTGGCGCTGACTGTGAAATTATCTGATTATTTGTCATATAAACAGAGTATCATTAATCTCCGATACAAAATATTAAATCATTGTAAATGTATCAATTGCAAAAAAGCAACAAAAAGCAAAAGTTATAAGAATAGAACATAAATGGGAATAAATGAGTCTTTTATTTAATATTGAGATTGGAGAAATGAACCCTTTTGTTTTCGGCAAATCAGTTTATTTTTATTTTGAAACGATTGGCTTTAAAAAAAATGACATCATAATATAAATTTTAATTTATTGTCTTGAGTTTCGTTACAATAAGTCGTATTACGATTAATGGAATGCCTTTAAACACCCCGTTAAAAAAATAGTTACCTTCAACAACACATGGTTCCCATCGTGTGTCAATGTCAGTAGTGTAACACCATATATATCCTGCATCCCAGGGATCTCGACAATAATTGACTTTGTCTTTCAAAGGTTCGCCGCCATAGTCATATTTACTTAACTCCTGCTCGTGCGGAAAGTTGGTGTCCCATCGCTGACATGTCTTACCAGAGAAGGTTGTGTTTTGTTTACCACGATACTGATAGGTCATCTCAGAATTCATGGATGCTGGCACTGAATTGCATGTTTATTTATGCATTGTATTTAGTCGGAAATGATAAATGGACAAACAAGTACTCCAATACATATAATAACTTACACCACAAGAAACAGGTATTGATATTTTAACATTATTTTGTTAGAAATGTACCCAAAGTATTCAACGATTGGACAAATGTTTAAAAATGTTTTATTCAATTTTGAAACATTAAAACGTTTACATTCACAATAGCATAATTCATTCTAACCTTTTATAGCCTTAATATGTTTCCACTTCATGGATGTTTCTTATATATAATCTCATTTTGAAACAATACTCATATTTCATTTTATCAGTAAATTATATAATGGTTTCATTAATTACTTACAAATTAAATCTAGAATTGTATAGGGATCCTTCAGATCAGATGTTAAATCAATCTGTCAATGATGTTAAAATCACAATACTTTTATATTATACAGTCTGCTACATTGAAATCTATATAAACTTATGTTCATCTCTCATGCTTCTTTAGCACCTTCTTAAGATGTATTAATTTGTTTAAAATTACTGTAATAACTTACAAACAAATGTGCAAGATGAATAACCCTCATTTGTATAGCAGCCAAGAAATCCATCATTTCCAGGATCGCGACAGTAATTGTGATCATATCTTGTACCTTGTGAGTAATCACGATACATATATAAACCAGTTTCTTTATCTTTCTCATCACCATCCTCGGTATCGTTAACATTGGAAACCTCCTCCTCCTCGGGGAAAAACTTTTGCCACCACATGTCGTTTTGTTTCATACTGTGTTTAAAAGTATAAAACACTTTAGGAAAGATCCATTCAACATTTATTGATCATTATTTAATCGTATAGGTTTCTAACTTAGGAAAAAAAGAAAATTAAAGGAAAACTTAATTAGGCCCAGATCTTGGTTATCAAGTGAATTCAAAATTAAAAGGAAAACTAAAGATTAAACTATTTTTTCAGAAGGTTCCAGCAAAAACGATACATGTACATTTACTTGTAAATTAATGGTTTTTATTAAAATTATGTTAAAGCATACTTTTCTTTAGTTAGATTCGCCCAGTGTAAGCAATGAGCATTATTGTCTGTTGTATTTACATTTCCTGAGTATTCTGTTGTTTTTATTTGCTGTCCAGGTAATGTTTTCCAATCTAGACTGAACGCTGGAAAACGCGTATTAATGTCTCTACCTAAAATAAATGGATGCATTTAACACATTTAGTAAGTTCTGAAACAGATGTTTCATTCCAAATTTAGTATTTAATTTTATCAAATTGACACTGAGCAAGGTGACTTATAGGCCCGTAGGACCGGGTATTATCATTTTGTAATATTTGCCACAACAATAAAATTATCATCTTGCCTTATCATCTTATCCATTATTTTTATAGACTGTAACTTCGTATTTGGTATCATACAAAAGAAAAAAGACATAGACATTCTGGCTAGAATAAAAAAAAGTTGAAGCTGACCATTTGTTGTCGTGGAAATTTCAAATGTGACATTTTCGTGCCATTCCATTTACAGCGGCGTATTGTAAAAGCGTGTGCTCTAAACGAAAAAACTAAACAAAATGGAATTTTGAAAGGGGGTCATTTGTTATGGAGCCTGCATATCACAGAAAAAAAACCATCAAAGACAAAGTTAAAAGACAGGCAACATATCCTAAAGATGATTCAACATTATTCAAGTAGGAATATTTGAACCACTCAACTAGAAAAGACAAAATAGTTAAAATTAAACATTTTTAAGTTAAATATTCTTAACTTAAAACAATGCATATTTATTGCACAAACTCTGACAGCAGATAAATTGAACTATACCATGTATGTTCTTTTCAAAACTTCTTTCACAAACATAGTATTCAGCAAGATCTGTTTCACAATCCTCTGTTTCCCATGTGTTGTCTTTGTTATAATTCTGAAAGTTCATCCGAGTACAACTCTTATCCGAAGGCTCTCCTTTTTTCCTGTTGTAATGATTAACCATTTTCAAAAGATAATATTTCAAGATTTTTGATTGAGCATATTTATAACATGCAAATGGTATAAAAGAAAACGCAATAATGTTTAAAATGATAAAATGTATTAAAATAATTGGTTTAGCTAAAACTACGTTTTAAAAAAAAGGTTGCACTATTTTGACTGAAAGTGTGCATCTAAGAATAATTGATTACGAAACAATGAAGTTCTGTGGTGCTGAGGGGTCACGCTTGAAATGCATGTAATTATCGTCATTTCACTAGAAGCTATAGAAAATACATTTACTTATCAATAATAATATAGATAATTACCACGCGGAGAAGATAATTGGTTTATAATCTTCAGCTAAATCCCGTATTATATTATTCTTCTTCATAACTCTGTACACTCCTGTTAGTATGTATAAATAATTGTTATAAATAATTGTTAGACTATGCATGTTTATTCTGTAAATTAAAACCTTAAAATATAAAATTGTCCGAAATTTCCAGACTTATTATCAGTAAAACTATAAAAGTTGTGTGACCTAGATTAATGGGAAACTTAAAAGTGTTCAAATTGACTTTACCAAGGTTTCAATTCTTTCTGATATTCCAATTAATTGCATATAAATCTGACATCAAGACAAGTCTTGAGCACATCTGAGTCTTAACATATATTGGTCCTTCCGTATCAATATTTACAAAATTTGAGTTATCAAAAATATATCAGTGTTTCGATCGTAACTATTAAAGGCATATTAAACCCCTGAAATTCTATTATTATCATTTCCCAAAACGTTTGTTTACTTTCCTGTTATTATTTCTAAAAAAAATACTCATTGGCCATAAAGCTGAACTATCGAGTGTTTCTTTTTCCTTTCATGTAGAACAGAGTTACATTGGTTTAGTATTCTTATGGAAGTCAAAATATCAATTTGCTTATGTTTTGCTACCTTAAAATGACAAATTATTACACATTCAGTGCTAATAAGTTCGGTGATAAGCATCTTATATGTTTTAATTCATTATAAAACTTATTTTTGAACAACTTGTTTTCCCCTTCTTTAGAAGAAAACAAATATTCCTTCTGAGGCATAATGTGCATTTAAGGCGACAACAAACACTTTCCGTGCTACTACCATAAATGTCATTTAAACCAACTTTTTTAAAGTAATAATTGTATTTTATGTAAAATTTAATGCATTAAATGCCTTTAATCTTGATAGAAAATAAATTTTGAAAAAAAATCCTTTGTAAATTTTGAATGAAAATTGTATTATTCCAAAACGTCATATCAAAGTCATTGTTTATTTTTTTTTGTCTGTATAATTTCAAAGTCATTTTTTTTTATTTTTGTCATCAAAATTTTGGAACATCAACATCATCATAATATCTAGAGAACGGTGTCACAGAATTTTTCTATCTTTCCTAAAATAAATTACGTAACATCAAACATTATATGCGACAATAACATTACACTATATTTGACTACCAATGTGAGTATAGAAGCTGATACTACTATGAAGGCTATCAAACGCCAATGATGGGCGGTCATGTGTAAACTGTGTCTCTCTGCGCAAGAGTTGCTTCACAAAACGAAGCTCTTCTAGAGAGTTGATCGACACCAATTTCATATTTCTTCTCCAACAATCATGTCCGGCATGCCGCCAGTTTGTTAGTTCGGGAATTATATTGTAACATTTCTTGTAACGCTTCGTACAAACTGAAAGAGAAACTAAGTAAATAACCATTGCATTCTTAGAAAAATATTTTATAAACTGTAAACGAGTACAAGACAACTAGACGTTAAATAATTGCCTGCAAATTCAAAACTAATTTCAAATAATATTCATGTATACTTTTATGTATTTATAATTTATTAGTATTGAGATTTCCGCACTTTTATAAAAAGACATTACCGTGTTACTCACCATAGCAGGAAAAATAGTTCTTACAGGTACGATACTCTGTATCTATACGCTGACAAGCAGCTCCACTTCTATAATTAATGTTGTTGGAACATTGTCGAGTTCTGAACTGAGTTCCTTTACCACAAACAGTTGAACAATTACTCCAAAGTGACCACTCATTCTCAGTCACTAAAGAAAAAACACCAACACTTTGTAACTTCAGTGGACTACGTAACAATTTATGTGAATAAGTTGTAGAGAATTTTTTTGTCGTTTGTAACTGTACTCGTATCATTGAAAGGTCGCTGCCAAAAATCAGGCATGTTTTAAGATTTGTCAGGGAAAGGCCAACAATGAGCTGGTTGCCACGGATACAGAATTACAATTCTATTCAATAGCTATTTAATATTACTTCTTATATTAAGCTATACATGTCCTTGTATCGTTTCTACTACAGAGCCAAGCTTTTAATTAAAGTCTCAATAAATATATGCATTATCCGATAAATGTACAATACAAGATAAGACAATGACATACATATATCAAACCAATCAACTATTTGGCTTACTAGAGACTATAAAAATTCTATACACTATCACACTATAACATAAAAAAACACAATCTCATATTTTCAAGACTTTCCAAGAAATCACCATACATAATCAGATCAATAAAAAAACAAACGCTTTTCTTTAATGTTTGACGTTTTTTGTGGGTTTTTTTCACCATGTTAACCTGTGCACTGCTGTTTGCCAATACCTGTGGCATTGTTTTGCCATACAATATTAATGTACACACACTTAGCTTTTCAGAACTAGTTTGCAGCCTACCAAAGAAATGTTCAGTTATCAATAGGAAATTTAATACAAGTAATAGGACTGTCGCCGAAAACAGGCTTTTATTTTCTAATTCAGCCACGACTGGCATTTCTTCATATAATGACAGACTAAGAATGAGTAAAATGTAAGGTACGTTTTCAGGGTCTGTTTTAATTGATGTACATTTCTATAGTAACCTTACCTTGATTAACAAACATCGTCTCTTTGCAATCACCTTTGCTGGTGCTTTGATTAACAGCTAAATAAAACGTAACTGTTTAAGTACAAGCATAAAATACAATTGTACATAGTTACATTCAATATACACTTTGAAGAATATAATAAAATTACCATACATATATAAAATGAACAGTTAATCTAAGCCATTTCAATTTCGATACTTTAAATTTTAAAGAAAAGAAACTTCCTAAAGAAAAGACCAGTCGCAAATTTTATTTTCTAAAAAATATTACTTTAGGAATATAGTCGCAAGGATGCCTCTTTGTCTAAGAAATATGACGGATAGATATTAACATAGTTTTAAATTACATGACGGGAAAAGATTAAACATATACAAAATTTTAATACTTGCCTAGTTGTCCAGACAACTTAAGTCCACAAACACGCAAAGACGTGAATTCTTGCATTACTTGGAGTTTGATGAATCTTGCAGTGATACCAGTAAGGTCTAAAACGTTTGTCAATATTCCGCCACATTTGGTATAATATTCTTCTTCCATGGTACATGTTGTTTTACCACATAATATTGCCAAATTGGTGACTGTAACGTTAATAAAGATCATCAAATGTTTCCACTCTTTATAATACAAGTAATAGAAAGAGCATATTTCTCTTTTGTATCAAAGTCAAACATAACAACACGTTCCCTGTTGTCACAATATGAAACCCTAGAAAAAAGTAACCAATGAACGAGCATCTGAATATTATATTTCTGTCGCTTTCCTTTTCTCTGCCGTCACAATTTGTAAACCCCAGCAAAATGAGCCAATTAATGGGCATGCTCTGGAGTGCGGGTAACTAATACCTGCAATCCAGTTAACGCACTGTGCATGCATATACGGTATAACTCTGACACATTTTCAACAGAAAAGTCCCCAAACTATGATACAAACATGTGATTAGGAGGTCTGTTTACCAGATATACACTTTTAATGGAAAGAGCAACATGTCTTACGCCCCTTGCGCCGCATAAGTAATATTTTAACGCTTAAGTTTTTAAATCATTAAATATTTAGGACCAGGAAACATAATTATATTACAACACTTTGATTACCTTCGATGTTATTGTCGATCGTTAACTCATGCATGTGATACTGGTCAAAGAGGTCTATCTGAATCCATGGATAATCTTCAAATGAAGTTATATAGCAAGAGGTATTGGTGGAGTTGTTTTTGCCTGAAGAGGTCATGTGCTTATCGATGAGTATGTTTTCTAGGGAATAAAAATAAAGATCAAGGATATCCGTGTTCATGAGCACAATGAATGATTTCTTTCCATACACTATTACACCAACGCGCTTAAAATGATCATTAATATGACCTGTCTAGATTTTTATACAACAAGCTTTACTCTAATCAAGATTATAATTTGTATCATTGGAATTATTTAAAATACCATACCTTGAAATTTATGTGACGAAGAGCATTTACGATATGACGTATCATTTCCTTGACAGAAGTTTCCACGGAAATTTGGAGAAGGGTTGTTGCAATGACGTTTTCGACGTTGTTGTTTGTTTGGTGTGCACACCTCGGACCATTCACCCCAGATTCCCCAGTTACCATGCACTAAAAACAACACTTTTATTGCAAAAGTATTATATATATATATATATATATATATATATATATATATATATATATATATATATATATATATATATATATATATATATATATATATATATATATATATATATATATATATATATATATATATATACCTATAACCTGTAGAATAATGTTATATGAACGCTTTATACATACATTTTAAATATGATTTGGATTGAAATACAAACTGTTACAAAAAATAAAGAGCACCTTCAAGTAATTTTTTTACGTGTTCGAAATTAAGTAGACATAATTATTCTGCAAATAAGAAAAAAAGAAACAGCAGCACAAAGTCGTCCACTGATATTCTAAAGTAATATGTATAAAGGTAAAATTTACCTGGCTCTGGGGCTGAAAACTTATTGGTATTGTGATGATCCGAAGTAATATCTGAAGCATATAAAATAACTTTTCATCGAATGATATTCATTTGTGCACAAGGTCGTTTCATGACAAAATGCCATATTATTATTGCTAGCAGTGAAGAAGTGTCATTAAAAAGTGCTTCTTCGATGATAACTTTTCCATCTTGAGAAAACATAACAAATGAAAGTTTAAAGGCATATGCTACAAAGACATAAAGGCACGTTGAAAACTGTACAATAGAATCTGTTTAAAGTTTAAATGAGCTTATGTCAAAGGCAATTGTGTAAAGTGTTTAAATATGACCACTGTAGACAAGTTCAACACTGCACTGCATGAACCGAAATGATTTTTTACCAATACAGAGATAAATGTACGCAAGTATGATAGTACGATAAGGAACAATAAAATAATTTTATGTTGATAATGAAATGTTGTTGAACAATATATTAGTAATTCATTTATATAAATGTCATGTAGAATTAGATTTACATTTTTTGTTTAAGAAATATTTTTTAAGAATATTCAAATGATACGTTTCCTTTGTGACAAAATACATGTATTTCTTGAAAATGTGCCAATAGTAAACCAGTCCACTTTAAGAAACGTGTGTCATCTGGAGTCGGCAGATGTATCGGGACATTCCTTTATGTCCAAAAGTAAATAAATATGTACAGACATTTACTTAATGTTTATTGTAATCATGTACAACCAGGTAGCTTAATTTATCATGATTATACATATTGCGACATCAAACGGTAGTGTTGGGAAAGTCGTGCGACATTTAATGTTACCATTGCGACATTTAGCGAAAATGGTACAACATTTAGCAGCACAAGCGATATTTACCGACAATGGTGCGACATTTAGCAGCACGTGCGATATTTAGCGACAATGGTGCGACATTAAGCAGCACGTGCGATATTTAGCGACAATGGTGCGACATTTAGCAGCAAGTGCGACATTTATCGACACTGGTGCGACATTTAGCACCAAGTGCGACATGTAGCGGCAAATACGACATTTAGCAGCAAGTGCGACATGTAGCGGCAAATGCGACATTTAGCGGCGTTGCGATATATTACGGTATCACAAGGACAACAGTATCTCTGACTTTACCTAATATGCCATATACTTCTACTTCACATAAGTTCATGTATCTTTTCACATTTTTCAACTGAACTTTCACATATCGTGCTTTTGCTCCAAACTGAGGAAATATCTTTGTAGTTTTCAGTATCCCACAGTGATACCCTGTTACTATCATTGATGACATCGTTAAACCAACAGAAACTTCTACATTTTCAGTACGAAGAGCTAAAGAATAAAACATTATCCATAATATGATGCATACGATATATACATACGATCGTATATATATGTTACTAGTAGTTTTAAAATACCGAAATTTATAATTTTATTTCAAGAGTATTAGGACATTTATTAAGCAATTGTTTTCATCATAACTTTTCTTGTTTTAGTGCAATTGCTCTCGATACAAATCTAGAAGTGTGTTGAATTAAACATACAGTAAGCATAGAAATATTCATAACCAACATTATGCATATCGTTCGTATGTTTGCTTTCAATATTCGCAAGAGAATATAACATCTAAATTTATTTTACAAGTACAATATTGCTTTATTATTAAGGAACATATTTTATTTTCATACGACCTTAAAAATAAATATATTGATAAAGTAATAAAATATAAAAGAAATAAACTATTTGAAGAACAAAACAAGCAACTGTATAGTAACACTGTTGAGTACATGTTTTTTAGAATTAGTTATAGAAGAGTAATAGTTATACAATACATAATCATACACAAAATAGATTCTACGACAGGCGCTTAGTCTAATAATTAACAAAATTTTACCACATCCTACGCAGTCGCGTCTGTTATTTACAATAACTCGGTTCAGTTTATAAATATCTTCAAGGTCAATCATCCACCAAGGTTCAAACTCTAGGTCTGTGTTAGAACAAGTCCAGGACCAGGAATCTGGGTGTATTACACCATCATTCGACAAACTGGCTGGTAGTAAGTAGAAACTTGACATTATAGATGGTCTACCTATTGCCACATTTCTAACTGTAAAGTGCAAATACATTATCTATAAGTATTTAATTAGAAACTGAATCATGTTACATTAATTTAATGAAATAAGGTTTGGTGCAATTGTATAATTCTTGATGTGTGGTTATGAAGTAAAATACAACATAGTAATTAAAGTATGGTAATGACACATTGAAATACGAATAACACAAATAAAATCAAAATGTTTGTCATATGTTTGTTTAACAGGTCTCTTTAAGGGGAATGGTGGCCTAGGGGTCAGAACATTTGCTTCTCAACTTAAGGATCGTTGGTTTGAGCCAGCGCCACGGCTATGTTTCTTCATATAATACAAGTATTGGTTATATGCAGGAAGTGGACTCGAAACTTAATGGATCTATCAAGCTGCAAGCTTTCATCACAATAAAGCTAAAATAAACAATGTTTAAACGAACATATTAATTTTGCATAATAAAAAGCTTGATAAGGTGATCTTAAACATAAATGAAGTAATTCAAATTTGCTCCAACATTAAACATGACATTGAAAACCGTTTCATGTTTATAAATTCTGTAACATTGGAAACATACGTTCAGATCGAGGCGTTTCATAATCGATATGTTCATCAACTGATACTGTTGATGTATCGTAGCTGGCTCGGAAGCCCTCTGTATACATCATATGAGGATCTGTAGCTTTGTAGAACGAGACAATCAATGTGTCTGAAGCCGAGAATATAAAGTTTGGCGGCCTTTTTACATTGCAGTAAGTGTTTACATCCATAGCATCTTTGATTGTAAACTTTGAACCGTGCTCATCTGAAAAATATATGTACTATTTTTGTTTCCGTTGAATGAGCAACATCCGAATGCAGCAAAGAAAGAACTTACTGTATAGAATATTTGCATTTTGATATTATTTTAACTTGTTTTGCAAATGCAATCAATGTTGACTATTTTTAATAAATTAGATAGATAACATTTTCCGATTTGCAAAGCATGTAGAAGGTTAAAACATCACTTTCTTGCCAAATAATTTGGAAAAGTAAGGTTTTATATACTCACTGCATGCGACTTGGAATTCTATAATATGAAAATGTATTATTTTGAATGGCACATGAATAGTCCATATTTCAGTTGTTTCTCGAAAAGGAAGTCCTAGAAATGACATTGAAGTTATTGTCATTGAGGGTTCCTTGCAGTTTTCCCGTCTACCATTATTCCACTCGACTTCAGAGTCCAGTTGAAAACAAGCGGGAGTATCTTTGTATAAAATACATAATATCAGTTTATAAAAATAAGTTTTATTTTGTAGATAGATTACTAATTTTATATTAAAAGGCACTCATCTGATTCTTTTTCGGCATGAAGGGGCTAGAAATATGTTTCCGGTATTTGTGTATCATTTGGACCAATAAACCATGTGCATTTTTTTAGATCATTCCTTCAACCCATTATGTATATATAGTGCCAAATAATCTAAAAATGAAGACTTTAGCAAAGCTTCTCACTAAAAACGAGTTAAGTATCGCATAAAAATCGATTTCCTATTTAATTTTTAGCATACTTCTTCTATGTCCTCTGAACATTTTAAGCGCTCTACTTTATGTAAGCAAGACTTTTAAGTTTTATCTTTTTAGGCTTTTAGACCTCAGTGAAGTTCTGTTAATATATATATCGTTAAACATCTTTGAATTTGCGTTTAAAGTATATTTTAGATAAATATTACATCAAAGGTTGTTTAATCTGATGAACTTTGAGGGCCATATAGGAAACACACAGTGATTCAAAAATTATATAGTATAGATAAAATTAATACTGTCAAATCTCCTTAAAGCTATATTTAATCGTCAGATTTCACTGAATCATTGATCATGAGGGACAGTTCCAGAAATGGTTATCATAATGGAAAATGTGTGAGTTTGTTAATTTCAAAAAGGTACTTTATCAAGGTCAGAAAGGATAACTCTTAAAACAAAATTTCAGTAACTAATAAGAATGAGCGATTCGGGTGAAATACGTGTGGTTAACTCTCATTTAAAGGGACTCAACTGAGGATCTCAGATCAATCGCTCATTTTTTTTCCAGAATATTTATTTTAATTGTGAAATAGGACCAAAAGAGAAAAGCGTTACAATGCTTTTCATTCAAATCAGTCTAACAATATCATAAAAAAACGATTTTCAATTTATTTTTGAGTTGATTTCTTAATAACCTTTGTCATACTTTTCCGTTTTAAGTGCCCTAGCTGATCTCTGTAAATATTTTAAACTTAATGTTTTAGGCCTTTGGACATAATTGAAGCAATATCTAATGACCACAACCAAATAAAATGGAATCAAATGAGGTGAATGTATGTTACTATCTTACAATACAATATGCGAGTGTATAAATATATTAAAAAAAGAGATATCTCGTGTTTTACGATGTCAAATAATAAAATAAACACTGAGGTCTTAGTGAATATGAGATATACATATAACTATAATATTGTTAATGCTCCTTTAATTAAACGTTTATCTTTTATCAGAATAATTTAATTTATTGGAAATGATGATTCGCATGACTAAGATAAAGAAAGGTTGGCAAATATCAAAGGGTATCAAAGAGAATAGTAAAATTAGTTTGTGGCAAATATTTAACTCGATATATTTTTATTAATACATGTATTATATTTCTGTAGTAAACTATAAGCTAACAAATTGACATACGGACATCTAAATCAAAAAGTGAATTCTTCAGATCTAACATGTGGCGGACGGCAGATATTTCTTTATTCTCAATTGAATCATTTATTTATATATTTTAATCAGTCAGTGAAAAACTGAATTGCGGACATTGCTAACCCGGACCGACCTTCACCTTTCATGTGCACATGATCTTACCTTGACTTGAGAGTATAGCTTGAAATCCTGACCCTTGTTTAAGCTGCATCGAGGTGGCTAAACAAGTATCAAATGTTATAACAAGCTGTCTTGTGCTTGTTTCAATACCAACTTTTATTCCATTTAATGTATTATCAATTGTGCGCACTGATTGTTTATTTCCACCAATATTGCTTGACAAATATATACTGTCCCTGCACAACTGTTCCTAAATTGTAAATGATAAAAATGAGTTATTTTTATTTATTTATTTATTTATCTATTTATTTATTTTCTGGGTTCTTTTTATTCCTTAAAATGTTAAAGTATTTTTTTTAATGGACCATTAAAATTTTCAGCTGAACCTTTTTCGTGTATTACTTGAACGAAATTATTTTAGGAACAGGTTAACCTTGTAACCACTATTTAAAAGTGATTTTTATTATGTTTATTTGTTTAAGAAAATAAAGCAGTATTTGAATTTTTAGTGAAATGGTACGATCTAACATAACTTGCATGGTTAATCATTTAAGTGACGTACCTTATATTCATTTAGAGACAAATGTGTTAGAATGACTTTAACAAAGTTTGTGAACCGGACGATCCAGCAATATGTCTGACCAGCCTTGTACACATGATTGCCAATATTGTTGATGATAGTTTCTGCTGTAATTGTCTGCACCACGGTGACAACAGATTTCTGCGGCGTAAACGTTTGTAGAATGGGGTTGCGGAATAACCCTATATATATTACAAATTTAAGCTTTTTGTGTACCAATTATGTTGTTTTGTATGAACGTTTTAATCTTATTTAATTTGTTCTTTTACTACTGTGATAAGAGAATTTTAAATCAATTAAATATTGATATATTGAGAAGAAAGGACTAAATCATTACTTACTTAAGTAAGTTGTTCTATTGTATGAATAAGTTTTAAGCATGTAATAAAAATTCCGGTTTTCCTACGTCTTTTTGCTATTAAAAATGTATAATGTTCTTGATTAATGTTAGATCAACTTTGTATTTTTGGCCGAAAACAGTCATAATGTTGCGGTCTTATAAGTTTGATACATGAACCCATTACCTATTGCCTTATAAATAATAGTACATCCACTGAATAGCAAGGTAAAAAGATTCAGGTACTAGATTTCTACGGAGCCCCTTAAGTGACATAATACAAATCTTGTCACATCTTTTTTAATTTTAATTAAACAAATTTATCCTTATTAATTTCAATGAAACTGAAATAATTTGTACTGTTAATAAGAACGCATTGAGATTTGTCCTTTCGGGGACTCAGTGTATTTTAGATATGACCTTGCAATGATTAAATATATTGTCTTAACAAACCAGACGATGGACATCCCAGTAACTCGAACCGGATACAGTTTAGACCTTCATAAAATGGCTCCAGAATGCGTATTTGAATAAAACGCGCCTTTACACGAGTTTTGAACAAAAATGACTGCTCTTCATCATATGCACGTGCATTATCAAAATGAAAATCCTGCAGATAAATGGAAAAGTCATATGATTAATGTGAAAGTTGGCAGTACATAATATTTTCCTACTTTATATACAAATCATCATTTGTTTTTTTTTTTACATTTTTGAGTTTGAACATTTAATTTTAGCATAATACGATCTTTTTTAGTTTCATAAAAGTAATGAGGAGCAATTGGTCCTGATCCAGCTGTTTCTTAATATAACTGGAAAATACCGTTTACTTTTTTTTCATGGTCCATATGAAATTTTATTTCTTGCATATCGGACAGGATTATCGATCGATGCGAGCCTCTGGTGATTACTACTGCTCTATGGTAAAGATGTATTGTTTTCAAATCATATTTAAAAAAAGAAATAAGCATTATTACCATACATACTATGATTATAGAGTTTCAAACTTTTTGATCATAAAATTTCAAGATTTTCACTTACGACATTGTATTTAGTAAGATTATAGAGTTCGTCACCATGATAAATCACAAAATGGCGGACACCTAGTAAATAAAGCCTCTCAATAACTGTTGTTTGTTCTTGTAATTTCTCCTTCCAGTTCCATACAATCAAACCTTCCACTTGCAGGGAATCAAGAAGATCAACCTATTAATGTTAATGTTCTAATAAGGTTCTTACCATATCATTATCAATGATTTACAATTTAAACGACGATGATCATAGAACCTTCATATGACACTTTTGTATAGTGGCTGATTTGGTACGCTTTTTGTGTCGCGTTGGCGCTAGCGACAACACCACAAAGCGCCAAACGGGGTGTTGTGGCACTGTCGTCTTGTTGTCCTGTTCGGTTGTGTTGTCGCTAGCGACAGTACGACAAGACGAAAGTCCGACAACGCGCCGTTTGGCGCTTTGTCGTGTTGTCCCGTGCGCCAACTAAACGCACAAAAGCGTACCAAATCAGCCACCATACTTTTGTTTCATTACATCAAGATACATCATTCATACAAAGATGTAAATACATACTACATACAAATCATGCTAAAGATTTCCGTTTAAATAAAAACGCACAAATTAATTTTCACTCACAAGGTTTAATAAAGAATTAGATATAACCTGTTTCATCATTAGAATTATCTGTTTGGTACATTAGCTGTTGATTGATGTTTTAATGTGAGTTCTTTTAAAACATTTTTTAACAAGCGACTTAAAATTGTACAAAAATGTTTGTTTCCTTTTAATGGAAAAGATACCCACTGTTACTGTAGGTTTAGTGTCATTAACAGATGCACACCAGCCTTGTCTGTAGGGACGGATACCAGATGCCGGATAATGTTGCTGCTGTGAAGATACCAGTATCTGACCGCCTGTGATAGAACCGTCAGACATTCCCAGATACATATTACATCTACCGTCATCTAATGAACATTATATGAAAATAATTGCATGATAAGCACAATGCTATGACAAAAATCAATGGTACATTTCTGTTATATAATGTCGATTAACCAGCAAAAGAGTATAAACTATATAAAGTGAAAACAAACGAATAGCGCCGGCTTTTATTTTTTTACATCAATTAGGTATTGTCAATGTCAAAAAACATGAGGATACGTCTTACTTTGATACATTGAAGAACTAGAACTACACGTGTACATGTACGCATGAAGAGATGCAATGTCAACAACCTACGTGCGTTAACGCATAAAGAGATGCAATGTCAACTACCTACGCGCATTAACACATGAAAAGATGCAATGTCAACTACCTACGTGCATTAACGCATGAACAGATGCAATGTCAACAACCTACGTGCATTAAATCACGAAGAGATGCAATGTCAACTACCTACGCGCATTAACACGTGAAGATCGAGATGCAATGTCAACTAACTACGTGCTTTAAAGCAAGAAGAGATGCAATGTAAACTACCTACGTGCATTAACACATGAAGAGATGCAATGTCAACTATCACCGCGCATCAACACATGAAGAGATGCAATGTCAACTAAATACGTGCTTTAAAGCAAGAAGAGATGCAATGTCAACTACCTACGCGCATTAACACATGAAGAGATGCAATGTCAACTACCTACGCGCATTAACACATGAAGAGATGCAATGCCAACTACATACGCGCATTAACACATGAAGAGATGCAATGTCAACTAACTATGTGCTTTGAAGCACGAAGAGATGCAATGTCAACTACTTTCGTGCATTAACACTTGAAGAAATGCAATGTCAACTACCTACGCGCATTAACACATGAAGAGATGCAATGTCAACTACCTACGTGCTTTGAAGCACGAAGAGATGCAATGTCAACTAACTACGTGCTTTGAAGCACGAAGAGATGCAATGTCAACTACCTACGCGCATTAACACATGAACAGATGCAATGTCAACTACCTACGTACATTAACGCATGAAGAGATGCAATGTCAACTAACTACGTGCATGTACGCATGAAGATGTGCTATGTTATTTACCGGAAAGGTGAATTATATAACTTGAAAAGCTGAAATGATCGAAAAAATGCAATCAATTTGAATACAAATTTTACCTTGATATAACCGTTGTGTAACGACACGAAAAGGTGCTATGTCATCCATATGGAAGAATGTATCTTCATTGTCGTTCTTTGCTCCGACAAGAGCAATATACCGTCCTTCTATTTCTCTTAAATGATATTTAGTTAGAATTATTTTGCGTTGTGGTTAACTTTATAAAACTTGAAAAACATTTTGTATCAACAAAATATTGTTTCAAAAATAAGGATTGTATAATGATGGTTCTTCAATTTCATGATTATATGTATATTACATTCTGCAACTAAAAGGCGGATAACATGACGAAATTAAAATATTGCATATATGGTTTGTTGACGACAAAGTTTCTATGCATTCTATCTTTTAACATTTCTGATGTATAGCTCAGACCAATGCAGAATATTGTCATAAGGATTATTTGAAGGAAAAAGAATTCATACAGATTCTCCAATCTCATTAAAATCAGATCATCGTTTTTGCTCCGTTACTCTTCGCTACGAAGCGTAGGGTAGTGAAGCGTCAGTTAGGATATGATTTTAATGAGATTGACAGATTCTCTAGTGTCAAATTTCTCATTGGTTTCATATTCCAAATGTCCACTCACAATACATGCATATATTGAAAGGCACATTATGCCTCAGAAACAATTTTTTTTAATAATGTTTAAATAATGGTTTTAGAAAATGTTAGATGCTTTTTACCTGAATAAAGTAGCTATAAATGTGAAATCATTTGTTATGAAAGTAGCCATATGTAAATTAAGAAGTATTTTGACTTCAAAACTGAAATTTCGTTTACTAAAACTGTACCTCTTGCCAAAAAGCAACAGTTGAAAAAATTGGTTCAGGTACTTGGTCAATCATACTTTAAAAGGACACCAATATTAAAAAGCCTTTGAAAAATAAAATCAAAAGCATTTCTGAGACATAATGGACCTTTTAACCAAACTACTTTTAATTAGTGTAAGAATAAAACTTTTTACCTTTGAAATCGTGTATTGATGTATCCACTTTGAGATTGATAATTTAACTTATGTAGACATGATAGTGCTGCGAAATACAGGAACGCCCATTTCTCATGTGATATAAAGCATTCTATCTGTGGGGATAAATCTGTAAAATTAAAACATCATGTTTTATCATTAATTGCTTGAAAGTCTATTAATGTTTTCCCCCGGGATCGACTGAAACATCCGCAGATAACGTATAAAGTCGCTGTATAATATTTTATTTATACGCTATTCTTGAATACCAAGTTTCAACGCAGAAACTACATACTCAGTGACGCCGTTAAATTTCTTTATTCCTTACTTTACAAAAATGCCTATAACCGCTTACTGGTTCTCTGATACCAATTTGACTTATAATATATTTAGGAGAAAATAGTCTCAATAAATGTAAATTTTAAAACAAGTAAATCTAGCAGTATTTACCCTTTTGGAAAGGTATTTGGAGGCCTGACACAGAAATACTTGCAGCAAGATCTATCAAAACCCATGGAACAACTTTAGGTTGTTTTTTCATCATAATTCTTTGCAAGAAGTATTCTACATCTGAAACAAATAGAATATGAGATCGAAGATCAACAAGGAATAGGGAGACGGTTACGAAACGCAGTACGAAATACTTTACGACAAGTTAAAGATAAATAGGAATGCCAACACAAAACACATACATTTAAAATCGACATAAAGAATGGACAAGACAGATTACCGCCATGGAACGGTCAAAGGCTGAATCACTGTTAGGGGCTTTAAACCGTAAATGGTGTAAAAATCATACAATAATGTTTCAAGACAGACGATGTGAACTTAGAATAGCATGTGCTCTGTAAATATGAAGTATAGCTAGAGACTATATAGTTTTACATGCTTAGATGTAAGAATGTGACATCTAAATTATTTGTTACAATATTACCTATTTATTTCTTTAAACTGTAAAACAAGAAATGTTATTTACAAATGGAGTATAAACCAAAGAAAGGAATCTGCTTCATAATTTTCAAAAAAATCTTATTAAACTAATTTTTACATTAATTTATAAATTAAACCCAATAAATACGCCTGTTTAATCTAAAATGTTTCCTCCGTCAAAATTAAAATGATTTTTTTCCATACATACTATTAGAAGATTTGAACGCTGAATCATCATGCTCCGACATAGCAGATGTTTGCCCACTTACTACATTTTTGGTGATGATATAGAAACCTATAGAAACAAAGAAAAGAAACAAAGATATTGACGATAGCTAGAAAAAGAAAAAAAGTTTATCGAATTATATACTAATGGTTCCTTGATTGCAGCAAAGATGAATTTGAAACTATGAATAGTAATTATGATACTTTCGATAATGGTAATAAAGAAAGAACATTACATTACCTTGTTCAACTTTGTCGTTTGTCTGCGTCTGCTGCTCCCCTGAAATAAATACCATTGTATATATGAGTCGCGTCATGACAAAACCAACATAATGGGTTTGCGACCAGCATGGATCCAGACCAGCCTGCGCATCCGCGCAGTCTGATCAGGATCCATGCTGTTCGCTCACCAACCCTATTACAAGTAGAGGAACTGATAGCGAACAGCATGGATCCTGATCAGACTGCGCGGATGCGCAGGCTGGTCTACGCACTACTATGTTGGTTTTGTCGTGACACGGCTCATATGATTAATCTTCTTTTATAGAAATGACCAGAATTAAGTGGAAAGATTGTGCACTAATAAATTAACTCATTCCAAAATACTCACGTACTATATATACATTGACATTTTCTTAATATTTAGATGTCACAATTAGCTTGGAAATGCAAATTATTTGAAGTATCAGTTATTTGATAATAATTGCCAGGACATAAGTTTACAATTATATATACTTTTGTTCGTACTTTTTGGTGATATGAAGCAGTTCTCCTGGACAACAAAAACAGATTCTTCATCACTGTTTTGAGTCACATTCAAAACGATCGTTTCCTCCATCAAATGTTGGTAGGTTTTCATTTTTATTCGACAATTGTTTTCTCCGATCTAAAACCCAAAATAAGAAAAGCTGTCACGCAAAAATAACGAATGCCCCCGAAAAGGTTTCGTAAATATTGCAGAAAGGTATTATGAAAAGAAAAGAGAATAAAAACAACCAATTGTTTCATTTTGGTCTTGAGAGTAAAATGAAATACTATTCGCAGCAAACTTACCACCTTGACCTTACAGGTAGGGGCACGAGTCTTTGATGCGACACATCATCTTAATGTGGTACACATGTCTGCCAAGTTATTTTAAAGTCCTTCAATACATGACAAGGTTACAATCCGAACACGAATGTGTACCTTAAAAACTCTTCTTGTGAGAAGGAGTACCTTCAAACCATAAGTGTGACCTTGACCTTGGAGGAAGGGACATGGGTCTTAGACGCGACACGTCGTCCTGATCTTGTAGACGTATAATTATGCTAGGTTATTTAAATATCCTTCAATGCATGACTAAGTTACAGTCTGGTAACAATATTTGTACTTTTAGACTCTAATTGTGAGAATGCGAACCTTGAAACTGTAAATGTGACCTTGACATTTGAGGTAGGGACATGGTTCTTAGACGCGACACATCATCATGATGTGGTAGACATTTGTGCCAAATTATTTTGAAATCCTTCAATGCATAACAAAGTTTAAATCTGGACAAGAATGGACCTTTCCAATGTTTACAGATTTATGTAAATTGGCTAACTTGTTATCCAATTGCTACACTGAGATAATACATAGTCACTGGTTGACCTGGTTTGCACAAATGAACACATGGGTTTGTTTGTGATACTGTTTGTGAGCAGTTGACCAAAAGGTGTGGCTAAATGTTCCGCTACGAAAAATCGGAAAGGTCCATGTTGAGTTAGTGGGGACCCACAGACGGACGCACAGACAGACGGAGGGTGCCATTTTATATATCGCTCTTCGGGGGCATAAGAAATAAGCACATTTCATAATCCAGCAAAATAGAGTTTGATTCATCTTCGATTTGAGTTTACCTTAATTAGGGCACAAATGCGAATTTAAATCAAATGATCCTTGTCAAGAAAAAAAAGATACATCATTGGAAATTAATTAATAAAAGTTTTTCAATTACGCTAATGTAAAAACGTTATAAAGTAGTCTTAATGGATTTTCATGACAAGCCTTATTGGTGAATAACTCACGATAATCAGTAATATGTAAATACAATACATTAATGGTATAAAATTGTTTTCATTATTTATTGTGCTGTTCAGCGACACATACAAGAAACAAATTAAAATGCAAATTACCCTGAAAATAAAGATCATATCTGTACGTCTACCAATACATATCTAATGAACAGTTTGCATTATTTTACAAATTGCTTCTCTTTACTCCCGATGGACCTTCTTTAGAGACTGACATACACAAATTATAATGTCAAAATTGTACAGTTTACCCTTAGCAACACAAATGGTGTCTTTGAAAATGATGATGCGTTGGCAATCTGATCAGAAACTTCTTTGTTTCGTGTGCATATCGTTACTTGAAGTCTGGCTAAAAGTGAAATAAAATTAAAGATTACCCAACTTCTTAATTTACAACGAAAGAATGAAAGCAAACATAAAATATCAAAATTTGCAAAGTGTCCATACAAAAATCAGCTGCAAAATTTGTTTCAATATAAACCAAACTTGCATTGATTGTAGACTTGTATGCGCAGCAAATTAAATGGATGTATGAGATTAATTCTGTGCAAATTATGATGTTTTTTTTACTCCGATCTCTTTTTCCATAAGAATCGACGATTGTACAAACACTTCAATTTTGCAGCGAACAAAATGTTTAATTACAATTGACGCAAATGCATCTCAATATTAATCAATTTAATATTAATTTTGTACATATATTTCTAAAGGGATTGTAAGGTCTTGTTATTAAAGTTTTAACCATTTATTTACTAAATATGTCACGAATAAATCTGTTTCAAAATATAATTATATATTAACAGTTAAAGATAATCTACATTATAACAGAAAATAACTGTTTAATAATAATGCTAATCAAATAAATATTATAATGTAAATCACCCGAATCGTTCAATCTGTATATCAGAAAACTGGGTACAAATCCGTCCGAAGTCCAGCTTGTTATAGAAGGTAAACTTATGTTCTTCGTGACTTCACTAAACCCTTAATGTAACAACATAAAATACGACGAAATAATGAAGACCTATCTAATTGAAACGGATAAAACAATGCAACACTTATATTGCGCTACCATGTGATATTTAATGAACAATAAATTTTTGCTCTTCTTTCAAACTTTTTTTATTGCGTTAACTACAATTTCGTATTATTTTTCTTTACAAATGTTTATTGTAAATAACATCGCTAAATGTTGTCAAATGTGCTCTGAAATACATTTTAGACTAAGATACCGAAGAATAAATCACTAAATAAAACAAGTGTGTATCTTGTATTACACGAGTGTCCTGAGTGAGAAAAATGATATAATATAAGATTTTTACATTTTGCTTGATATCAAATAAATACCCAACGTAAGTACAGAAGAAAGTGCTGCAATAACAGTTGACTGTATATCTTGCAAAAAAAAAAAAAATAGTAATAATCATAAAATATCATTTAGCTAATTTATGTGTGATGAAACGATATCTTACCATTTGGACAGTCCTGCTCCTTCGCGTAAATCCCGTACGTACCAATAGGCCAAACTCCTTTATCCAAAACAGAATTGTTCCTCTGTTTAAAGCAAAAGTTTAATTTCATACCTACCTTAGTGTATGGGCCTAATGTGATAGTTTGATGGCTTGGCCATTCAGTAAATTTATACACCTTAATTTGCTCAGTGTAATTTGTACTATTTGTTCCATGGTAACCATTGACAATAGAAAATCTCAAGGACTTGGTCCATGAAACTGAAATATATCCCTTTCTCCAACCGTGGTTGTAAGATTCTGGACAACCGTAAATAGACATCGGTATAAGATATGGTCCGGGAGGCCACGCACTTTCTTCCCCGTCGGTGATATCTGTGATTTCATACATAAATTTAAATTTATTTGTACATTGTATAACTTTTTTTTCAAGATTCATGAAAATAAATAAATAAATTGTCTTATGTTTTTATGGTTTATAATGATAGCGACATAGATAGAAGAAAAAAGAAGTGTAATATTATGTTATTATTATGTAATATGAGGTTTTTAAATGTATTGATCAGGTCAAAGTGGACCCCTTCACGATAATCATAACAAAAGACATATACCTATAAAAAATTATCTAAATTATACATTTAACTTATGTTTTCATCAGTGAGAAAATATCATTTACAAACATTAATAACCATTATGTATGTCATAAAGGTATTAGGTTAGGAGGTTGAGACCTAATGTTTAACATTTGAATTGTAAGTGTTAATGATAAGTTGTCGTGTGAGATACGTTTCTCCAATATTTCAAAATAGTTATTTTTCGATATATATTAAAAGGGACTACACCAAGCCTCCCCCAATACAAGGCTGATAAGTTTGTTGATTTACCCCTAGAATGTACCTCAAAAAAATTTGGTGTCATTTCAATATCAGTGGCTCTATGTGAACACTATATTTCTGAGCAGAAATTCAGCACGAATCCAACTAACACATCAAATGAATGAATCTGTTTTTGAAGTTGGCAATTCAATTTGTTGAAAGACAGACATCATTTCGTGAAATCATAGTAAAACAAGTAAATTAATGGAACACAATAAAGATTGGCAAACCTTTTTTCATCAGGACTTGACAAGTAATGTCTCCCATGTCGCCTTGATAACAATATTTGCGTTCAAAATTACCACTAGTCTCCATTGCGTATGTTGATTGAAATTCTAGCAATACAGGATAGTCATAATTATTATTAGGGGGTCGAACGTACAGCGGTGCGATACTCTTTAAGCGAGGTGAAAATGGTGCGATACCGAATAATGGCGGAGGAAAGTGACAAATAATGTGGGTAAGAACGAGTTTGCTTCAAATATTTGTTGTATGTTGTAATTTTTGTTCGAATAATATAGTACATATGGAGCAAAAGATATATTTGTATATGATGGTCAAAATAAAAGAATCTATTTCATTGTAATGAGAAAGTTGTTGAGGTATTTGCTACTTCAAATGCCACCGGCAATGTGACATACTAAAAAAATGATCACAATAACAGACGTTATGGAACAGATATTTTATGAGTTACAGCAACAACATGTTTACTATAAATAGCAAAACAAAATGCACGAAAAGTTTCAACTATCTAGTTCGCATATATCTACAATATTTCCGTATTTCTTACTGTCCCCATGATACTGGTCCGATAAACTAACTGTACGCAAAAAATTTAGTTCCTTACGATGGATTTTAATGATCGACTGATATCTGTTTTCTACGCATTGGCAATTAGTAACTGATATGGTGAAAAGCAGTTTTATTTAGTGATCAGTTAACTGTATCATACTTCAATTATGCGCATGGTCATAGCATTCAAAAATGGATATCAGGAAGGACAGTTCTAAATCCATGTATACAGTGAAATTTAGAAGACTCTAAATCGACATGTGTGACAAAAAAGCTTAGCTCTAGACACAGATTTATACTGAAGAGTTTAGATTGTGTGTGACATGCCCAATGACATTTAGCAGGGACGGACATTTTAACCCGGACATGATTAAGATTTTATAATGATTTTATCAGAAACCTAACAATACGTTTTACGTTTATTTCAATATTCAGCAAGTGTAAATAGTGAGGGAATTAACATGCATCTATATCACACATGAATTAAGCATTTAAATTACAATGTATGCGAGTAACAACCGAATGAATTTAGCATATGCGAATAACAACCAAATGAATTTAGCATTTAAATTACAAAAAAATGCGAATAACAACCGAAGTTGTAACATCACGAAATTTTACATTCGAACTGCAAACTATCTGTTTTAGCACTTCGATAAACTGCAAAGAATTCGAAGTAATTTTTTGGCAATGAAATAAAAAGGGGAGAAAGAGTAAATGAAAAAAGATTATCACGAAAATCAGAGATCAAAGGGAAGGTAACTCTTGAAATAAAGATGACGGAATTATGTGAGTAATTCCAAGCCTAACAAAGATAAATGCTGTCAGTTATCAGTAACCCACCCCCCCCCCTCCAAAAAAGAAGAAGATTCTTTATGGTATATAGTTTTAAGTAGCTATTAACAATGCCAAATTTATCGGACCTTATGTTGCGTACAGTCATCTTATCGCACCAAAACCCGTCATACACATAAATATTTTGACAACAATACGTAAATATATATCTAAGCACATAAGTATTTGCTATACAGCTATCTAATGAGTGTCTACATAATTAAGTTGTAAGTAGAAACCGCAACTAACATTTACGATATTGGCTACTTTGTCACGGACACAAATCAGTTACTGCCAATTCACCTTCAATATTGTACCTAAACTTCTATGATTTCGAGGAAATACATGTAGGTCAAAGCCCCACATAATCCATACAAAATTTGCAATTTTAATAGTCAATGATTGTTACATTTTATAAAATATACTCACTCTGACTAGTGTTAACAGTCTTAAGTCCGCCATTATTCCGTTTCGCACCATTTCACCTCGCTTAAAAAAGTATCGTACCGCTATACGTTCGACCCCCTTATTATGTTATAAATGCTTTTAGTATTAAAAGTCACAAACACTATGTTATTACATGTATGTTGTTGTTTTTTTTTTCAGTGACTAGATGTTAAATTAATTGACAAAAACAATACCGGTATGTTGAGAAAAAATCTTACCTGATATCTTAACTAGAATATTGCCAGTAAATTGAAAGTGTATTATACATGTATATGAATTAATACATTATTTATATCATTTATATACTATTTTAAATTGTTCTTGAAAATATATTAAAAATGTTACCTATGTTAAAAAGAACCATCAAGAAATTGCAAAGAATTCTCCAGCGCGACATAACTGTAAGTATCTGTTAAACTTTTCTAAATTGCTCACACACAGTTGATTGATAACTGTGCGCGTGAACGACAGTACGAGTGGAAGATGTACTGAAATATTGCCATCATATTATCCAATGACATTTCATTGAATAATTGAATAGAAACCAATATCAAATTGAAATATAATGTTAAAATATCTACTATGGCTTCCTGTAATATCAAATTAAGCAAACGTTTACAAAACTTCCAATCATGTATCTTTAACATTTTAGATAAAATAGGATTATATAATTTGATTAAATGTGTCGCTACACTTTCTTTAATGAATTAGTTATGTATCACTATAAAACAATTCGATTTTTTTCTCTAAAAGTAATTGCTTTTAAATTTTCCGTTAATATGATGATAGCATCATTTGTATAAAAAATAAATGAACAGTCCGAGGTTTTCGCTAGTGGAAAAGAAAAGCACTTTTCAGGTAATTGAAATCACCGGTGTCATCGTGTTACAACAATCATAATGACGAATTACCAATAAAGAGAACTAACAATGTTATTTTAATAAAAAACGAAAAGAAAAAAAACGAATCTAACAATTGAAAGTAGAAAAATGAGGTTTTCTTGAACAGACTCAATCAAACCGAGCCTACAGCATTTTAATTTCGTCGTATTGGGTTCCGTTTTTTGTTTCTCTAATCTATTGCATATGTGTTTATAAATAAGTGTAAGTACACACAAAACATCAAATTTTAAAAATAAATACCCAACAGCTACAATTCATTTCTAAAATAGAAAAATGTCTTAAATACTAACTAGTACATGTTTGTATTTAATTACCGGTATATAGACTTTATGTAGCAAACCGTAATGCAACATTTAGAAGTTTGCCTATTGTTAAATTTGTGTTTCAATAAGTTCTGCTATACTGTTGCCAGTAACTCTTAACGATCCAGAGATACATGTATGTAATTGAGAAAATATGGCAAAATTGAAATTGATTGTGCCTGCGGCTAATGCAATCTTCCGGAGCTTTAATTTGAAAGATGTTATTGCTAAAATATTTAATCTAGAAACATTAGAAAATAGCTGTGTTATCATGGAATCATCGATGTGACACTTCCCTGTATTTCGTTCCCAGATACTTTTTATATGCATATTTTATATTGCGCATCTCTTGAACAAAAGCAGTTTAAATCGATGATATATAAAGGAAATATGATGTTAACTTTGTCACCCTTTTACAACTGTTACACAACATTTAACATCCATTTGGATAATTGAATTGATGGATGCTACTATAATTATCTGTAACATACTGATTGGTAATTTTGTCTTATTATGTAACTTCCGGGTCATTCAGTGATAGCTATGTGAAATTCTTACGGTTCTTGAAGTTTTCTCGTCTTAAAGCTGTATGCCTTCAGATTCTTAGAAAAGTTAACAGAATAAGATTCAAGATATAATTTACATGTTATGGGCGACTTATTATAGCTTTTGCAGTATTTTCACAGTATTTCTACTGCGTGACAAACGAAGTATAGGCTATTTTAGTCTATTTTGACAATTATTTTGGTAATTTTCGCGGATTGTAAGTACATGTACCATTTGCAATGTAAACTAATTTTGTTTACTTCAAAATATTTTACTTTTAAAAACATTTTCAAGACTCATGGATATTAGCAAGTAATGCTGCTTTAAATTGTTTAGTTCATTTATCGGTGGATTTTACTTACCTGTAAAGTTAATTTAACTGTCTAAAAATCAAAATCTTGAGGAAATAACCTTCCTTAAATTTGAAATAGAAAATATCAAAGCAATCAATAAGTAACATTTACATATTTAATATCAAAACATTATATATGAAATTTTGTACAATTCTTGAAAACAAAGCTGGTTAAAACAACACAATCGGCACAGATCAATTTATATCAAAATACGGGTACACTGCACAAATCTCATTTATTTTATAATTGCAAATTTTGCAATTGTCTGCTGCTACTTTGACTTTAAATAGCAAACTCGTTTGAAAGAAAGAAAGAAAGAAAGAAAGAAAGAAAGAAAGAAAGAAAGAAAGAAAGAAAGAAAGAAAGAAAGAAAATAAGAAAGAAAGAAAGAAAGAAAAACAAATCCCGTAGTTTTGCTTTTAGTTCTGTAACAAAACTGAATTCCAATAGATGACAAACGCACAATGGTACGGGGACTGATACGACTTTTGTATTCTTATGTTTGCACCATGGCAGTGCTCGACATTCAAGATGCAAGGCTGATCGCGTCCTTTGAATGACGTCATTAATCAACAATGAAAAGCGGCCCATGGTCCCAAAGAAAAAATGTGGGAAAAAACGAGAAAATCATTAAGAGGACATAAATAAAATGGAATCACTGAGTAAGATACGTGGTGTGAAAACATGGTAAGCTTTATGTAGGTTTTATTGACTTTAAGACCGCATTTGACTCCGTAAATCGTAATCGATGCGGGACTATTCCATCCCTCACGTCGCTATGGGACCATTCCATCCCTAACGTCGTTTTAGGACTCCATCCTTCACGTCGCTATTGGACTATTCCATCCCTAACGTCGTTATGGGACTATTCCATCCCTCACGTCGTTATGTTACTATTCCATCCCTCACGTCCCTGTGGCACTATTCCATCCCTCACGTCCCTATGGACCCATTCCATCCCTCACATCGCTATGGGACTATTCCATCCCACACGTCGCTATGGGACTTCTCCATCCCTCACGTCGCTATGGACTATTCCATCCCTCGCGTCGTTATGGGACTATTTAATCCCTCACGTCGCTATTGGGCTATTCTATCCCTCAAGTCGCTATGAGACTATTCCATCTCTTACGTCGCTATGGGACTATTGTTATGTTACCATTTCATCCTTCGTGTCGTTATAGGACTATTCCATCCCTCGCGTCGTTATGTTACTATTCCATCCCTCACGTCGATATGGGACTATTCCCTTCCTCACGTCGTTATGGGATTATTCCCTTCCTCGCGTCATTTTAGGACTATTCCTTTCCTCACGACGTTATGAGACTATTCCCTTCCTCACGTCGTTGTGGGACTATTCACTTCCTCGCGTCGTTATAGGACTATTCCCTTCCTCACGTCGTTATGAGACTATTCCCTTCCTCACGACGTTATGAGACTATTCCCTTCCTCGCGTCGTTATGGGACTATTCCCATCCTCACATAGTTATGGGACTATTCCCTTCCTCACGTCGTTATGGGACTATTCCCTTCCTCACGTCATTACGGGACTATTCCCACCCTCGCGTCGCTATAGGACTTAATCTGATGTGTTTCTTTTCCATCACCTCCCGATTTTTACGACAATGAAGCAAATAACTCGGATTAGCATGATTTTTTGTGTAATTGTCTTAATTTAAATTTGAAACAGCCTACCTATTGAATTCGAAATTTAGATGATGTTATCATTAGATTATTAAAAGTGGCTATCGACAGTATGAGGTATCATAATAAATATCTGTCTTAAAGGGGATTGGTCTACAATGGGCATATAATTCATAAGTATTTCAAATATTGATAAAACTGTGGAAATGTATCATTTGGATAGATATTCTTATCAAAAATTTCTTTACAAAATGTTCTAAGTGGTTTAGTTTGGACACTTATATCATGAATGATAATATTTTGTTCTTGAACAACATCCACATACAATTTATTTCTTGGTATGTTATCACATATGTTACTATAAATACTATCAACATGTTATAACGTTCCATTATGGAACTATTCACTTTAATCACACTGGATCACAGAGAGACATATATTCCTGTAAACTGTGAAATACAGATTAAAATCATTTTTAATTTATATAATTTCACCATGTCTGATCTGTATATACTAATAGGTTAATATTGTCATCTCGTGCATACAGAATCATCAATTCACACCGTTTGAAATCAAAAAGCATGCACATTAAAAATTACCATGTGGGAATTATATTATTTAGAGTATAATTATGTCTAGCATAGATCATTTAATTTGGAATTATTTCAATTGATTTAATCTACGAGTGTCCACAGATATCAGACTAGCTCATGGCGTAATTAAACAAAACGTAGTGAACGATTATAACTTTACTGTGATAAAAGTTTAATCTGATTTTTCGTCTTCTTTTTTGCCCTATATTTTTGCGAGCTGGAGAACATATCTCATATGATTATGTAATGTGTACACATACTCGGAGACCTACCTTATGGGTTGTTTTGGTTTGTTTGGTTTTACGGCGCGCCAACACAGACCTACCATATAATCATCAAAATATTAAAGGGACTCCACTGAGGTTTTTTGACATGATGGGACGGATTTTTTTTTTTCAGATAAATGTACCATTTGATGTAGGTTTAGACCACTAATCTTTGTTCAAAATTTCAGGTTATTCGCGCACTTCGTATTTTCAGAATAACTATTCAAATTATAAAAAATGACCCAAAATGAAAAGCGTTTAAAACGCTTTTCACTCAAATTGGGCTAGGAAACGCATAAAAATACGATTTTCAATTTATTTCAAAGTATTTTTCTTAACTATTTTTGCATATATTTCTGTTAAAAGTGCCCAACTCATCTATGTAAGAAATTCAAATGTTATGTATTTAGGCTTTTAAACCTAAGTGGAGTCCCTTTAAGACTGCAAAAAAAAATAAAATGTCCACGGTCAAATGGTCGACCAGAAATATTACCATTTTTGCAACTCAACTATTCTTCCTTTATTAGGTTACATTTGAAGTGACACTGATATTTACTGTCAAGGTCATTTGGAAACTTTCAAAATATCACCCTAGCTCATGAACCTGACCGTTCATTATTTCATACATTTGCATGTATCCACAGGCGCTAGTCACATAATCAAATATTTAACATAACCGGTCTATATATCTATCTTTATATACATATATAGACCGGTTATGTAAAATATTTGATTATGTGACTAGCGCCTGTGCATGTATCTTAGTACAACACAGCAATGTCAAATTTTTCTACTTGTAAACATGAATACGAAAAACAACAATGGTTCTAGCTGGCGGAGAGCTTCGTATCCTGAGAATAGGAAAAGCCTATTTTTCATGGACTGTCTGTCTTTCATAATTAAATATAGATCTCTAATACTATTCATATCATTTATGTCTATTAATTATTAATGTAAACATATCAATGTTGTCTACATATCAGTAATTTCTAAATACAATTTTTAGAGTGTTTCAATAAGTTAATATCTTACAACACAATTGAACTAAAATTAATTAGTATAAACCAAACCAATTAATTTGCTGAATTATATCTGGATTACTGCATGATGAAGATTCAATTACTAAGCCCCGTATTGATAAGTTACCCAGATCATAAAATCAATAAAATAATTAATAACTTTATCATCATCATTTTTATCAATAATATTTAAATCATTTATTATAATTATCATGTTGGCAGTTTATGATTATAAATACCATAAATTTATCATTTTTAACATCATTTCGATTTCGATACGATTTTCATATTGTGGATGACAACGATTGTAACATAAACATTATTCGTAAATATTATATTTGCAAAATGGCGACCTGTAATACGGAAGACAGTGTTGATTTACTTGCTTTTGTTGAGGATGCTGGTGGTGGAGGGACATCTCTATGGGACCCTGGTTTAAGCAGTGATTGGGATCAAGAGAAACCATCAAATCAGTGTATCCTCAGAATTAAACGGTCTGTAGCCATGAACAATTTTCACTTTCGTTTTATCACGTCAGTCTCTGACTCATAATTTTCATGGTTATGTTCACTAAATTCGCGTTATCATTAATTTCATGGTCACATTTTTTTGCATCTCACATAATATTCCTTGGTGAAAAATGTCTAAACGTTAACTTTACCCTTCTGTGTTTCAATTTTTGTCTGGAAAAAAAACAACAACAAAAAAATTAAAACACACACAACTGTTTAATATTCAAAATAATTATGAAATTGGAAGGAGCTAGCCAAAAGTTCTAGCCGTATGTGAGTCACGTACGACTAGCCAGGACACACTGTATAGGCTAGCCGTATGGCACTTTTCAAAAATTATATGGAAGTCGAAAATGCATAAGTGATTTTGTGTCTTTAAATCAAGTCTCCGCATTTGTCCTAGTGTATTCACTTTAATAAAGATGCTCTGCCATTTTGTAAAAAAAAAGTGAATATGAACAAGCGTTGTATAATCTGTCTTGATAAAAGTGTCAAAGTTGCATGTTATAAGTTATAATGTCCTTTCTTTTCATGCTTATGATTTGTTGTTTTATTTGTATGAAAGATGAATTGTTAAATCATTTTGGTTAATTAAGCACATGGATTGAATAAATAATGATTGGATGGGAATAAATAAATAAATAAAAAGAATATAAAAAAACAAAAACGGTGAAAAGCAAAAATAATTTAATAATTTTCAATTACAGTAGATAAATATCGAACATAATTATTTATAACTATAAGCACACTTAATTAAAGCCTACCCAGGGACTGACAATAGAATTTTAGAATGCGTTTCACGGAACATGGAAACTTTCCCTAATGATGGACAAACTTCTATACCGTTGGTAATTGACAAGATAGATATTCGTACTTTCCTACTGTAGCCAACAAGGCGATTAATCTCTAAAAAGTAAACATACGAAGATAATTGCTGTTTTTTGGTTAAAACCCTCGTTTAAAGTCATAAAATAACATATGCATTTTCGATTTCCATATAACTTTGAAAAGTGCCATACGGCTAGCCAATACAGTGTGTCCTTGCTAGTCGTAGGTGACTCACATACGGCTAGAACTTTTGGCTAGCCGTACGGGCCCGTACGGCTAGCCACTTCCAATGAAATTAGCCATACTAGTAGTCTGTTTAAAAAATCATTTATTTTTCCGTTTTAAAGGAATACCCCACCCCGCCTATGATCATTGAGTTACATTGAAAATGGCGGCGGCCAACAAGAACTGCCGTTCATTGATTGTTACAGTTAGTAACTGCAGTGATCTGGTGGGAAAACTGCCAACACCACCACCACTTTAAGGCAGCATTTAACCTATGTCCAAGCCAGTGTAGACTTTCACTATTCTAGAAATTATTAACACACAGGCAAAAGTTTGCATTGCAATGTGCAATGATCTGGTAAATTTTTTAGCTTCACTGTTGTTATTATTGATATATTTGATAATTTCAGTGATATAATGACAATATATAATGAACCACCACCTGGGATGTGTATAGTACCTGACAAGGATGATCTCACCAAGGTATAATTTATGTTAACACCAGAAACTAACCAGTAAGATATAGCATGATAATGGTAAAAGTTAACATGTTACATTTGTAGTTTAGGTCTAGTACAGTGTAACCTCTGCGGACAGGCCCTCAGTAGACCAATTACATCTAAACAACAAAAGTTTCAGTTCTTCCTGCAATAAGATTTAACCTGTTACCGCTCAAAACAACAAACAAAGTCTTAGTCTCTCAAGTTGGCTCTGTAAATTACCTTTTAACAACTGATTAATTTACCTGTGTATTGACCATTTCATGATGTAGGTTCTATATCATGCAGACTTCTTCACTTTAAAAATTCAAATGTTTTGTATACAACTATTCTAGGCATAATTTGTGTGGTTTAATGTTTAAATTGATATCTTTATGTGTCTTCATATTTAGATTCATGCCTTGATAACTGGACCATTTGACACACCATATGAAGGTGGCTATTTCTACTTCATGATACGTTGTCCACCAGATTATCCTATTAGAGCACCTAGGGTCAAGTTACAGACCACAGGGGAAGGAAAGGTCAGATTCAATCCAAACCTTTACAAAAATGGGAAAGTTTGTCTCAGCATTATTGGGTATGATAAATTTTGATTATTTTGTCATATATATATAATAGTTGTTAACAATTTCATAACTATTTAAGGTCTTGGTGCCAAATAGTTATAACTCCTTTTTGACATATGTGGTGAAACTATCTAATAATTTTACATTATATTTACATAGAACTTAAAAAATTCAATCTTAGTTTATTCTGTTATGTTACATTGTACATCAAAATAAGACAGAAATGAAGAAATACAACACATTATATGATACATTGTTATGTTACATGTATATTAGTAGCTCTATTTATAAAGATTTGGTCATATAACCTGCCTGGAATAATGAACACATATTTATACAGAAAACTTTCCTTTTTAGAGAAAAATGTGAGATCTCTTCATAAATTGACAGCAGCTGTGTATATAATTTATAATAACACTATATTAACGTCACAATTATCCAATGAAAAGCAATGTTACAAATGTTCAGTATAATAATCTTTTTTTTACTCCTCCAAATGACTGAAGTGAAATAAATGCCATGTTACAGTAATGTTTTTGTGGTTAAATACTGTATAATTATATTTAGGACATGGTCTGGTCCAGCATGGAGCCCTGCTCAGAGTCTTTCAAGTGTTTTAATATCAATACAATCATTACTTAACGAAAAACCATACCACAATGAACCAGGATTTCAAACTGTAAGTATTCTTTTGTAAAATCTTGCTTTAAAAACAGTGCTAAGTTTAAGAATTTGTTGCCCTGAAATTCATCATCTTACTGTATTTTGACAATTACATGCCTCAATGAATGTGAAATGCTGTGAATTTTATATGAAAGATAAAAACTATTTAAACATATGAGAATTATAAAATAGATAAACATTCTAACATGTATTGCAGTGTACAGTAGATTTTAGGTACATGTATATTTTGTGTCACCTTTGTCTGTGGAAAATTTTAACCTTGGCCATTCTATAAGCTAGAGCTTTCATTCTAAGACATAATAAAAATCAGACCCACAGCTTCATTTTGACACATGAAGATAATATGACCTCAATTGTCAAAACTCATGAAATGTCACCACAATTTTATTATGCATCAGAAAGTAATTGCTTGCCAGCCCCTTCATTTTGATATTTTCTGTATCATAACTTTGTCTTTCATTCAATCTTTAAACTTAGCATAAATGTTCACCATTATGAGGTGATGTTTTACAAACTTATACTTTTGAAAAAAATACTTATGAAAATGTTTGAAAAAATATTTCATTATAAATTATTCAGTGTCTGTTTCAAAACATTACAATAAATACCAAAAATGATATTTTTTTGGATAAAAGTAATCTGTGCTTTATTGTACATCTTTTGTCAACTGTCTTATCATTCTTGTTGTTGTTGTTGTTGTTGTAATCAGGAAAGAAATGCAGGGGACGCAAAACGTTACAATGACATAATACGACATGAAACGTTACGTGTAGCTGTCTGTGATATGCTCGAGGGGAGATGTATGTGTCCTGATGCTCTCAGGTAATTCTCTCATTATTTATTGATAAAAAGGCTATAGGGGCGTCCTTTGCCTAGTAGTTAAGATCGTTGACTTAAAACCACTTGCCTTTCATCACTGTAGGTTCCAGCCGCTCAAGGGCCTTCAGATTATTTCACATGAGGAAGCTATCCACCTAGCTTATGGAAAGTGGGCGGTTCTATTCGGGTGCCTGTTTCTGCCTGAAAAAATGCACAGAGGACCAGTTGAGGTCTTCATCAGTAAAGCTGGAAAGTCACCATATGACCTATACTGTGTTGGTGCAATGTAAAACCCAATAAAAAAATAAAGATAACAGATTATCATTATTAATAGTGAGAAAACATTGTCTTGTTGTGAAAAATTTATAAAGACTAAATAAAGTGAATACTAGTAATTTGAAAATAGGTCATGTGACCTTGCTCTATATTGGAGACATAGGAAAGTTAAAATGGCCACAAGTGGTCAACGGTTTAAAAAGAATTTCAATGTAGGAACTGATTTCCTACATATTGATGTGCCAGTTAATATTTCTTGATTGAATATCACATCTGATACAAGCTACCACAAGGATATCACAACAAGCACTCTATTGAAGTTAGTTGTGGACTTGAGAATACAAGTAACAGATGTGGCAAATTAAGTCCTTTGTGTCTGCTGGGTTACCATTACGGTTAAGGCATCAGAATCTTGGCTACTATTTAACCTTGTGTGATTGTAAGAGGCTACTAAATGGGTTCAAATGATTGCAGTTGTTGCATCTCTTAGCTCCAGCAGGTGAGGTGGTTGTGACCCTTGGTACTGCTGTAAGTTTGTTGTTTCAGCGCCATATGACCTAAATTGTGTTGGTGCGCCGTTGATCCAAACAAAATGTGGCAAATTTAGAAAAATATATACATTCACTCTATTTTCAGTAAGTCACTGATATTCATAAAGCATTGAATTTACTTTAAAAGCAAATGAAGCTCTAGAATTTAGAAAATTGTCTTTTTAAAGAAAGGGCAAACATGTGTTTTATAGTGATATTGGCTTTAGAGAATGTGAGATGTTTTTATCACCTGAAGAAAATAGCAGTGAATATGAAAGGTAGCTAAATGTTAACAAAGAGGTATTTTGACTACCATACAAAATACTAAATCATTATAACTGTACTAAATGGTCAACATGCAAATGATGTAAAATATGGCTCAGCTATGTTGTATATGAAAAATGAATAACATTTTAGAAACTGTATCAAGACATAAGAAATGAAAAGCTTTTGAAAAATAAAGATATTAGCGTTTTTAAGTCTTAATGAGCCTTTAAAGTTGGTATGTGTATAATAGAGTTAGATTACTTTGTTTTACAGAGAGGTGATGGAGAAATCTTTCCCAGATTACTATGATTATTATGAGAGTATATGTAAAAGTAACCTTCATCAACAAGGTGAAACTATGCAGGTATGTATCATTATATAACAGTTTGATTATATTACGATATTTAACATTGTTCAGTACAATACAGAGATATATTTGGATTAGCAGCCTTTATCTTAGGTACTAAGAACATGACTGCTGAAGTGTACAAATACTGTACAGGAAGTATAAGCAACTTTTAAAGCGCATGCATACAAAAACTGGTTCATATTTGTACTTTTATGTGATGAAATAGTCTGTTAATTGGTCGGATACATTTGCAGAATGGATATAAGGATATTGAATGAGTGTAAGTTTAATACTTTATTTATTGAACAAATTGAATAAAATCATGTTATGCAAGCCTGCTGCGAGCATAATATTGTTTTATTCAATGAGTTCAATAAATTTAGTATTAAATCTACATGAATATAATATTCTATCACATTTCTTCAGTAAGAAAGGTTTTCAGATAAAGCAGTCATTTTTTTGACGAGCCAATAGTGTAACAATAACATTAGCACACATTTACATTATGTTTGTATATCTCAAGTGATGGCACGCCAAAATGTTATAACACAAGTTTAATATTGTTTTTAGCTTGATTATTTGCAGAATAATCAAACTAATGCAGTCAGCCATTTGTCGGCGTCCCTGTGGTTAAGTTTTTGCGTGTAAGCTGGTATCTCCATAACTACTGAAGGGAATGGATTGAAACTTCAAACACTTGTACTCTGTGATTATCTAACATGATTGGCACAAGTCCCATAATTCTGATTTGCTTTTTTGCATAATTATGCCCCTTTTTAGCTCAACTATTCGCAGAATAATCGAGCTAATGCAGTCACCCATTTGTCGGCGTCGGCGTCCCTGTGGTTAAGTTTTTGTATGTAAGCTGGTATCTCCATAACTACTGAAGGGAATGGATTGAAACTTCACACACTTGTTCTCTGTGATTATCTAAGATGATTGGCACAAGTCCCATAACTCTGATTTGCTTTTTTTCATAATTATGCCCCTTTTTCGGCTTAGAAATTCTTGGTTAAGTTTTTGTATGTAAGCTTGTATCTCCATAACTACTGAAAGGAATGGATTGATACTTCACACACTTGTTCTCTGTGATTATCTAAGATGATTGGCACAAGTCCCATAACTCTGATTTGCTTTTTTTTATAATTATGCCCCCTTTTCGACTTAGAAATTCTTGGTTAAGTTTTTGTATGTAAGCTGGTATCTCCATAACTACTGAAGGGAATGGATTGAAACTTCACACACTTGTTCTCTGTGATTATCTAAGATGATTGGCACAAGTCCCATAACTCTGATTTCCTTTTTTTCATAATTATGCCCCTTTTTCGACGGTTAAGTTTTTGTATGTAAGCTGTTATCTCCATAACTACTGAAGGGAATTGATTGAAACTTCACACACTTGTTCTCTGTGATTATCTAAGATGATTGGCACAAGTCCCATAACTCTGATTTGCTTTTTTTCATAATTATGCCCCTTTTTCGACTTAGAAATTCTTGGTTAAGTTTTTGTATGTAAGCTGTTATCTCCATAACTACTGAAGGGAATTGATTGAAACTTCACACACTTGTTCTCTGTGATTATCTAAGATGATTGGCACAAGTCCCATAACTCTGATTTGCTTTTTTACATAATTATGCCCCTTTTTCGACTTAGAAATTCTTGGTTAAGTTTTTGCGTGTAAGCTGGTATCTCCATAACTACTGAAGGGAATGGATTGAAACTTCACACACTTGTTCTCTGTGATTATCTAAGATAATTGCCACAAGTGCCATAACTCTGATTTGCTTTTTTACATAATTATGCCCCTTTTTCGACTTAGAAATTCTTGGTTAAGTTTTTGCATGTAAGCTGTTATCTCCATAACTACTGAAGGGAATGGATTGAAACTTCACACACTTGTTCTCTGTGATTATCTAAGATGATTGGCACAAGTCCCATAACTCTGATTTGCTTTTTAACATAATTATGCCCCTTTTTCGACTTAGAAATTCTTGGTTAAGTTTTTGCATGTAAGCTGGTATCTCCATAACTACTGAAGGGAATGGATTGAAACTTCACACACTTGGTCTCTGTGATTATCTAAGATGATTGGTACAAGTCCCATAACTCTGATTTGCTTTTTTTGCATAATTATGCCCCTTTTTCGACTCATGAATTCTTGGTAAAGTTTTTGCATGTAAGCTTGTCTCTCCATAACTACTGAAGGGAATGTATTGAAACTTGAAGAGTTTGTACCTTTTCGGACAATTTTATGTATTCATATAGGTAAGCATTATTATACTCAATGAAACACCCTTGTGACAAATTTTCGAATAGTCGAGCGTTACTGTCCTCCGACAGTTCTTGTTAGCTCACCTGTCACAAAGTGACAGGGTGAGCTTTTGTGATCGCTTTTCGTCCGGCGTCCGTCCGTCCGTCGTCTGTAAACTTTTACTTTAAATGACATCTCCTCATAAACCACTAGGCCAATTTCATCCAAACTTCACAGGAATGTTCCTTTGGTGGTCACCTTTAAAAATTGTTCAAAGAATTTAATTCCATGCAGAACTCTGGTTGCCATGGCAACCGAAAGAAAAAACTTAAAATATCTTCTTTTAAAAAACTCAAAGAGCTAGAGCTTAGATATTTGGCATGAAACATCATCTAGTCAGTGTCTACCAAGTTTGTTCAAATAAAAGCCCTGGGGTCAAAATTGGCCCCGTCCCAGGGGGTCATTGATTTTCCCTATATGCATTTAGTAAAACCTTAAAAAATCTTCATTTAAAAAACCCAAAGAGCTAGAGCTAAGATATTTAGCATGAAACATCCTCTAATGGGTGTCTATCAAGTTTGTTCAAATAAAAGCCCTGGGGTCAAAATTGGCCCCGCCTCAGGGGGTCATTGATTTTCCCTATATGCATTTAGTAAAACCTTAAAAAATCTTCTTTTAAAGAACCTAAAGAGCTAGAGCTTAGATATTTGGCATGAAACATCATCTAGTCAGTGTCTACCAAGTTTGTTCAAATAAAAGCCCTGGGGTCAAAATTGGCCCCGCCCCAGGGGGTCATTGATTTTCCCTATATGCATTTAGTAAAACCTTAAAAAATCTTCATTTAAAAAACCCAAAGAGCTAGAGCTAAGATATTTAGCATGAAACATCCTCTAATGGGTTTCTATCAAGTTTGTTCAAATAAAAGCCCTGGGGTCAAAATTGGCCCCGCCTCAGGGGGTCATTGATTTTCCCTATATGCATATAGTAAAACCTTAAAAAATCTTCTTTTAAAGAACCCAAAGAGCTAGAGCTAAGATATTTAGCATGAAGCATCCTCAAATGGGTGTCTACCAAGTTTGTTCAAATAAAAGCCCTGGGGTCAAAACTGGCCCCGCCCCAGGGGGTCATTGATTTACCCTATAGGCATATAGTAAAACCTTAAAAAATCTTCTTTTAAAATACCCAAAGAGGTAGAGCTTAGATATTTGGCATGAAACATCTTCTAGTCAGTGTCTACCAAGTTTGTTCAAATAAAAGCCCTGGGGTCAAAATTGGCTCCGCCCCAGGGGGTCATTGATTTTCCCAATATGCATATAGTAAAACCTTAAAAATCTTCTTTTAAAAAACCCAAAGAGCTAGAGCTAAGATATTTAGCATGAAACATCCTCTAATGGGTGTCTACCAAGTTTGTTCAAATAAAAGCCCTGGGGTCAAAATTGGCCCCACCCCAGGGGGTCATTGATTTACCCTATATGCATATAGTAAAACCTTAAAAAAATCTTCTTTTAAAAAACCCAAAGAGGTAGAGCTTAGATATTTAGCATGAAACATCCTCTAATAGGTGTCTACCAAGTTTGTTCAAATAAAAGCCCTGGGGTCAAATTTGGCCCCGCCCCAGGGGGGTCATTGATTTACCCTATATGCATATAGTAAAACCTTAAAAAATCTTCTTTTAAAAAACCCAAAGAGGTAGAACTTAAATATTTGGCATGAAACATCTTCTAGTCAGTGTCTACCAAGTTTGTTCAAATAAAAGCCCTGGGGTCAAAATTGGCTCCGTCCCAGGGGGTCATTGATTTTCCCTATATGCATATAGTAAAACCTTAAAAAATATTCTTTTAAAGAACCTAAAGAGCTAGAGCTAAGATATTTAGCATGAGACATCCTCTAATGGGTGTCTACCAAGTTTGTTCAAATAAAAGCCCTGGGGTCAAATTTGGCCCCGCCCCAGGGGGTCATTGATTTACCCTATATGCATATAGTAAAAACTTAAAAAAATCTTCTTTTAAAAAACCCAAAGAGGTAGAGCTAAGCTATTAAGCATGAAACCTCTTCTAGTGGGTGTCTAACAAGTTTGTTCAAATAAAAGCCCTGCGGTCAAAATTGGCCCCGCCCCAGGGGGTCATTGTTTTTCCTTTTATGTATATAGTTAAAACATAAAAAATCTTCTTGTAAACAATCTTAAAAGCTAGAGCTAAGATATTTAGCATGAAACATCTTCTAATGAGTGTCTACCATTTTTGTTAAATTAAGGGCCCTGGGGTTAAAAAATTGGCCCGGCCCCGGGATCATTGATTTTCCTTTTATGTATATAGTAAAAACTGAAAAAATGTTCTGTTAAAAAGACCAAGAGATAGAGTTTAGATATTAAGCATGAATTATCTTCTAGTGAGTGTTTACCAAGTTTGTTCAAATAAAAGCCCTGGGGACAAAATTGGCCCGCACAGAGGGTGTGGGTCATTGTTTTTCACTATATGTGTTTAGTAAAAACTTAAAGATTTTCTTAGAGCTAGAGCTTAGATATTTATCATGAAACATCTTCAAATGGGGATCTACCAAGTTTGTTCAAATAAAAGCCCCTGGGTTAAAATTAGCCCCGCCTCGGGGGCCTATATACAGGTGAGCGATTTCAGGGCCATCATGGCCCTCTTGTTTGACTTAGAAATTCTTGGTTAAATTTTTGCGTGTAAGCAAGTATCTCCATAACTACTGAAGGGAATGGATTGAAACTTCACACATTTGTTCTTTGTGATTATCTTACATGATTTGCACAAGTCCCATAACTCTGATTTGTTTTTTATATAATTATGCCCCTTTTTTGGCTTACAAATTCTAGGTAAAGTTTTTGCTTGTAAGCTGGTAACTCCATTACTACTGAAGAGTTTGTGCCTTTTTTGGATCAATTTTATGCATTCCTAATAATAAAGCAGTGATTAACTTGATAAAACATCTGAAGAACAAGCCTTTTTACCTTTTCGGACAATTTTATGTATTATTATAGGTAAGCATTATTATACTCAATGAAACACCCTTGTCACAACTTTTTTGAGCGTTACTGTCCTCTGACAGTTCTTGTTATTAAATGGGTTTATTACACTTCTCTTGTATTCACCTGATCTTGGTGTAAACTTTAAATTGTGTACACGCTCATGTTTTCACTAAATAGATTTCATGAACAAAATTGTGAAATTTGGCAATAGACATGTATAATGTCTGCCATAATGTTTATACCTGTACAGGGCTGCTTGATAGCTTAAAAATAATGTTATCAGAATGTAAAGGTTATCATTTGTAATATTTCTTCTAATACTATTTATTTATTATTGAAGCAGTTAACTTATACATGTATTTGTGTTACTTGTTATGGATAAACATTTTAAAGATTACAAATAAATGCCTGAAGTTGCTTTTGAAAAGATGGACTGTTATCATTTATAACTCTTGTAAATTGTGTACCACAATTGCAGGACCCTTTTGGTGAAAGACGTGGAACTTTTGACTATGAATCAATTCTTAAAAGACTAGAAAAAATAAAAGCAACGTTAAGTGAGAAACAGACTGTTAGTTCAGAGGAGGAATCGTCTGATACTGACATGGAATCTCCGTCCACCGAAAGATGACAACAACCTCCAGTAATAGGTGTGCTATGTTAATGTGATGTCAAAACCTTTTTATAGCAATTTTTGTTGTTTTTAGCTCACCTGTCACAAAGTGACAGGGTGAGCTTTTGTGATCGCTTTTCGTCCGGGGTCCGTCCGTCCGTAAACTTTTACTTTAAATGACATCTCCTCATAAACCACTTAGCCAATTTCATCCAAACTTCACAGGAATGTTCCTTTGGTGGTCACCTTTAAAAATTGTTCAAAGAATTTAATTCCATGCAGAACTCTGGTTGCCATGGCAACCGAAAGAAAAAACTTTAAATATCTTCTTTTAAAAAACCCAAAGAGCTAGAGCTTAGATATTTGGCATTAAACATCTTCTAGTGAGTGTCTACCAAGTTTGTTCAAATAAAAGCCCTGGGGTCAAAATTGGCCCCGCCCCAGGGGGTCATTGATTTTCCCTATATGTATATAGTAAAAACTTAAAAAATCTTCTTTAAAAGAACTCAAAGAGCTAGAGCTAAGATATTTAGCATTAAACATCTTCTAGTGAGTGTCTACCAAGTTTGTTCAAATAAAAGCCCTGGGGTCAAAATTGGCCCCGCCCCAGGGGGTCATTGATTTTCCCTATATGTATATAGTAAAAACTTAAAAAATCTTCTTTAAAAGAACTCAAAGAGCTAGAGCTAAGATATTTAGCATGAAGCATGTTCTATTGGGTGTCTACCAAGTTTGTTCAAATAAAAGCCCTGGGGTCAAAATTGGCCCCGCCCCAGGGGGTCATTGATTTTCCCTATATGTATATAGTAAAAACTTAAAAAATCTTCTTTAAAAGAACTCAAAGAGCTAGAGCTAAGATATTTAGCATGAAACATGTTCTATTAGGTGTCTACCAAGTTTGTTCAAATAAAAGCCCTGGGGTCAAAATTGGCCCCGCCCCAGGGGGTCATTGATTTTCCCTATATGCATATAAGTAAACTTAAAAAAGTTTCTTTTAAAAAACCCAAAGAGCTAGAGCTAAGATATTTATCATTAAACATGTTCTAATGGGTGTCTACCAAGTTTGTTCAAATTAAAGCCCTAGGGTCAAAATTGGCCCCGCCCCAGGGGGTCATTGATTTTCCCTATATGCATATAGTAAAAACTTAAAAATTCTTATGTTAAAGAATCCAAAGAGCTAGAGCTAAGAATTTTAGCATGAAACATCTTCTAATGAGTGTCTTCCAAGTTTGTTCAAATAAAAGCCCTAGGGTCAAAATTGGCCCGCCCCAGGGGGTCATTGATTTTCACTATATGCATAGAGTAAAAACTTAAAAAATCTTCTTTTTAAGAACTCAAAGAGCTAAAGCTAAGATATTTAGCATGAAACATGTTCTAATGGGTGTCTACCAAGTTTGTTCAAATAAAAGCCCTAGGTTCAAAATTGCCCCCGCCCTAGGGGGTCATTGATTTTCCTTATATGTGTATAGCAAAAACTTAAAAATCTTCTTTGAAAAAACCCAAAGAGCTAGAGCTAAGATATTTAGCATGAAACATGTTCTAATGGGTGTCTACCAAGTTTGTTCAAATAAAAGCCCTGGGGTCAAAATTGGCCCTGCCCCGGGGGTCATTGATTTTCCTTATATGTATATAGCAAAAACTTAAAAATCTTTCTTGAAAAAACCCAAATAGCTAGAGTTTAGATATTAAGCATGAAACATCTTCTAGCAAGTGTCTACAAAGTTTGTTCAAATTAAAGCCCTGGGGTCAAAACTGGCCCGCCCCTGGGTGTCATTGTTTTTTAAACTATATGTGTATAGTAAACTTAAAAAAATCTTCTTTTAAAAAACCCAATGAGCTAGAGCTTAGATGTTTAGCATGAAACATCTTCTTATGGGTGTCTACCAAGTTTGTTCAAATAAAAGCCCTTGGGTTAAAATTTGCCCTGTTGGGGGGGGGGGGAATAATTATTTTTCATGTGTGTAGTTAAAAACTTAACATCATGAAACATCTTCTAATGGGTGTCTTCCAAGTTTGTTAAAATAAAAGCCCTGGGGTTTAAACTGGCCCCACTCCAGGGGGCCTATATACAGGTGAGTGACCTCAGGGCCATCATGGCCCTCTTGTTTCTTGTTGTTATGATAAATTAAACAGTTGTTGTTATTGTATAAAGATAGTTACAGGATTCTTAATGACAATATTGTGCTTTAAAGCCACCTTCAGCTTTTATTATTTTTATTTTTTTTTTTTGGAAAAACAACTCTGTGTTGTTTCAATTGAAGTATTTCAGTAATTTTTTCTTAGAAAAAAAGCATCATATCACTGTCAAGGTCTTTTTCAAATAAGCGTCCCGAAAGTTTTGTATAAAGCATCAGTGACGTTTGTTTTTAAAAACAGAAATGAGGAAAATGAATGTTCCGCTTCACTAAAGTAAAGTGTGGACTGGTGGTTTAGAGGTATCGGGAGTTTCCTTATTGTTTAAGAATTCTATCATTGGAAAATATCATTTTGCACCTTAATTCTTTTGATTTGACAATTATATGAAATAATTTATCTAAAAATAAAAATTAATCTTTAGAAAAAGATGAAGGTTGATTAAATTATGAAATTCCTAGGAGGGTTTTATAGTATGCAAGATGTTTTGAAAAGTGCACAGAAAAATGTACAAAGACTTGTTGTTTAAAGTTTCTTTTTCTTTTTTAGAAATAAAATCATTACATACTTCAAAGGGCAGGACAAACTTCCTTGCCTTGTGAAGTTGACAATATCCTTACTTTGATATATTAACTACTTTCTGTGAAAGCAGCACACCTCCAGATTCATACTATTGTCATAAGTTTGACATATTGATCTAGGGGTTGTTGGTTCCATCCTAGTGCAAGGGGAAATTTCTCTGTGATAATCCTGGACATTTAGTCTAAAGGTCATTTGTCTCTCACCGCTAGAAATTATTTTGGATAAGGTGTCAGTCAGCAGACTTCTTATATATAGGAATATAATTTAACTGACCATAAGAATGTGATAAGATACAAATAACCTTACATAAATTACATTAAACATGTCAAACTGTGAAAAAATAACTGTACATTGTCATTGACTGGATGGATGTATGATGATAAAAACAGAATACTCAAGTCATATTTATGCAAATACATGTAGTATAATAATGTATCGAGTTCATTTTTAGCTCAACTATTCAATAAGAATAAGTAGAGCTATTGTAGTCACCCGAGCGTCGGCGTCGGCGTAACCACTTATGTTAAAGTTTTTGTAAAAGTTCAAATATTTTCAAAGTCCATTGACATATGGCTTTGAAACTTTGCACACTTGTTCACCATCATGACCCCAACCTGTAGACAGGAAGAGGTAACTCTATCAAGCATTTTGACAGAATTATGCCCCTTTTTCAACTTAGAATTTACGTTAAAGTTTTTGTAATACCTTGAATATTTTCAAAGTCCATTGACATATGGCTTTGAAACTTTGCACACTTGTTCACCATCATGACCCCAACCTGTAAACAGGAGGAGGTAACTGTATCAAGCATTTTGACAGAATTATGCCCCTTTTTCGACTTAGAATTTACGTTAAAGTTTTTGTAATAGTTCAAATATTTCCAAAGTCCATTGACATATGGCTTTGAAACTTTGCACACTTATTCTTCATCATGACCCCAACCTGTAGACAGGAGGAGTTGCATTTTCCTTGTCCGGAGCATAACTTGAAAACTAATGGTTGGAATTCAATATAACTACATACATTTATTGTAATGTATTTATTATATTTAGTTGTCATGAAATTTTAATGATTGAAAGGGATGAGGCCACTAAATTCAGGTCAGACTCATCTATATAAATTCCACACTGTAACATATATACTTAGCTGTACCTAAATTAAAACTTAAATGATCACCTGAGGTATTTCTCCGCCATTAAAGCTGAGAAGTTGCTCTCTAATTGTGACAGTGTTGGTGTAAGTTACAAATAAAATAATCTCAAACTACCCCAACTCGGCCACAGTAAATAAGATTTGCAATTGTCAACTAAAAAGATTTTGTAAGAAGTAAACTTTTCTGTACAATTTATGTATATACATGTATATTTTTCAAAAAATGTGTAAATGTTTGACTTTTGGCTGGACCATATTGTCATTACGACTGATTTTTACTGATATTTTATTTGAATTCTTGTTGACTCTTATATTTCAATAAAAAGAGGTTACTTTGTGTTGTGCTTTCTTTATTGTAATGTAGTTTTTAAAATTATTTTTGAGCGTTTTTTTAGCTCACCTTTCACAAAGTGACATGGTGAGCTTTTGTGATCTCTTTTCGTCCGGCATTCCGCAGGCCTTAAACTTTTACTTTAAACGACATCTCCTCATAAACCGCTACTGGGCAGGAACCAGTTTCCAGACAATACCAGTTTCCGGACAAGTATTATAACGGCTTAATTTTGGCTTTATCGATGACGATCGGTATTATATGTCATGAAGATGCTTGTTTTGATTGTTTGAGAAAATAATCTTCCTTCCAAGTTGATACATCATTAAAATTTCGTGAGGATATCTTACCTGTGTTTTAAAAACAGCCTTATATCCCTTTGGGGCATGTAATTTGTTTGGCGCATGCGCAATATTTTGTTTAATTGGGATATAATTTGGGGTAGCAATTAATGTACAATGTACTTCATTCGAAGTTCATTGGGTGTAATTCCCCAGAGCTAAATCTGTAATGTATCGGAAAACGGTGTTAAGCTAGGTTAACTCCACTTTCGCACTTCGTTGCTGCCGTACACACAAAAATATCCGTTTCACTTTTAAGTCAGTCCGAGACCCATCACGTGATCTTTATTTTTCCTATCATAAACATTTTTCAGTAAATCAGCTTAATTATATAAGAAAGCTAATATGTGAGAAGAATTTTTTTGTTATATTAGAATAATTATCAGTTAAAAACAGATATGAATAGCAGCTTAATATATGTCCGGAAACTGGTTCTGCAAGAGTGAACAATTTACACTTTTGATGACCTAATTTAACCCTTCAGTTTGTACATTGCTTACGTCACCAGGCAATATTAATTGTGTTATCGGACGTAGTTAGAGCTCAGGTTTTGGTATGTTAGTTTTATTAATGCATGTTTATTATTAAAAAACAGACAATTAAAAAAACTCAAATTCTGTCCGGAAGGTTCCTGCCCAATAAGCCAATTTCATCCAAACTTCACAGGTATGTTCCTTTGGTAGTCAACTTCAAAAATTGTTCAAAGAATTTAATTCCAAGCAAAACTGGTTGCCATGGCAACCTTAAGAAAAAACTTTAAATATCTTCTTTTAGAAAACGAACGAGCTAGAACTTAAACAATTGGCATGAAACATCATCTAGTCAGTGTCTACCAAGTTTGTTCAAATAAATGCCCTGGGGTCAAAATTGGCCCTGCCCCGGGGGGTCATTGATTATTCTTATTTGTATATAGTAAAAACTTTAAAAAAAATTATTTTAAAAAACTGTAAGAGCTAACAAACTAACCGTGCTTCTTAAAAATAATCATAAATAAAACCATGTAGATGATTCATCAGTTTCATTTATCTATTTTCACTTCAAAAAATTGATGAATTGATGTTTGCAGCACACTATACCCTTATGACAAAACCCTTAAGTTCAATAATTGAAATATGAACTTTACTTTTAATTGACCTTGACTGTAAAGGTCAAATTATTAAAATTTGCTTGAATTGTTATTATTTATTTATAGATCATTCCATTCTTGGACAATACCATCATGATAATACCATCATGTTGAATTATTCTGATATGACATGAATCTTTAAAGGAACTCCACTGAGGTTTATAAGGCTAAAAATATAAAACTTAAATTTTTCAAATAGTTCAACATGAGCACTTAAAACAGAAACATAAATAAGATATAAATAAGAAATATGCAAGAAATACATTGAAAATCGTATGTTTGTGCTATTCACAGTCCGATTTGAGTGAAAAGCGTTTAAACGCTTTTCAATTTTGAGTCATTTTTCACTATTATAATAATTATTCTGGAAAAACGGAGCGAGCAAATGATCTGAAATTTTGCAAATAAGTTATTAGTATAGATCTTCATCAAATGGAGTAATAATCTCAAAAAATTATTTCCAGTCCCTTCATGTCAAAAAACCTCAGGGGAGTTCCTTTAATTGACCTTGACTGTCAAGCTCATATTCAGATTTGCTTAAATTGTCATAACCTTGTTATTTATTAACAGATTGATTCTTTCTTGGACAAAAGAACACATATGACAGTACGGACATGTTGAATTATATTAATATGACCTGGACCTTTGATTGACCCTTGACTGTCAAGCTGATTTGTTTGACTGTAGAAATAAGAGAAAGTCATGTGGGCCCTGCTAGGCAGTGGCTTGTGTTATAATGTAGGACTTCATGAATCTACAAGTCAAATATTTCTATGTCTACAAAATCAAAGTTTGAGCACTTGCAAGTTTAAGCTTTCCATTTGTAAATCATATATTTCAGTACGGAAATTTTCATGATTTATATAAAGAAAATTTTGACACATAATCTGTACAAGAATTCAGTGAGTATTTCACCTTGTTAATATTTTCACACAGGGTAAATAATGCTTTTACAGTCCTTTTAGTATTATTCCGTTTTTGACAGGCAAGTTTATTATTATCTTTCAAGACAGACAAGAATATAGTTAGCTGAGTTTTTGTTGTTGTTTTTTTTAAACATTTTGAAAAACAAATATCTAAGATTTCATGCATTATCTATGTATTTTATTTTTTGAAACACCAATATATTTCATGTAAATATTTAAATATTTTATGCAAAAGTGTTGTGTTTTATTACTATGGATTCTGGCACTAAAGGGAGGCTTTTACTGCTGTTGGTTTTTTTTCTCGGACACTATATCTGCTTTCCTATATCTTTAAAACCTTTTTGATTTCAGTTTAATTTGATTAAAAAAAAGTTTGTCCTGTCAAGTTTTCCTGTCTTTATGTGATACATCAGTTACTTTTGCCCTTCACTGCTTTGTGATCAAATTGTAGTAGAGACATCTGATAGTTCCTTTTTTCTTCAAAGGTATTATCTTGTAGTTTTAAGCCTTCATCATTACAAGCAAAAATATAACATGTCAAAGAATAGTATTTTTAACCTTTTGTGTTTTTGTTTTTATGTTTTTTTTTAGGCTTATAGCTCATTCAATCATGTTGATGAATAATTAAAAACTAATAATCTTTTTTATTCATAAAGAAATTTATTCAATGTTTAGTTTTGTAGAAGCAGCATCATGTACTTTCTGAAATAGTTTAGGTTTTCTGCTAGTTTTAGTCTTTCATTTTATAGCATAATACTTAAAATAGCCTTGTTTTGTTTTTTGTATCACTTGCCCTGCAGGAATTGAAAGTGATCAGCCTTTGCCTCAAGTATAGAGCCAGGCCAGCTTTAGTGTGACCAGGCTATATACAGTTGATTACTTAATTTTGGTATGTTTAAATAAAAAAAAAACAACCTTTGAGTGGACTGTTCTAAATTCAAATCTGGCCAAATCAATAACATTAGTTTAGCACATAATCACATTAGGGGTTATAGTGGCAACTATCATTATTTATATATAGTACTTTGTGAAATGCTTTAGATTTTTTATTAATGCACTACATTGAAATAAAACAAATAGTCTTGCTTTTTTGTAGCAACAAATAGCTCTGTGAAAATGTTTCAGTTTTGTTTTTCGAAGTAGATAATATGATGTTTGCAGCTTTGTAACTTGTTTGTATACTGTATAATGAACACATTCATCATAACCCGTGTGTAAATAGAACTTAATTCAGCATAGTATATTCTCCCCATGTGTCATAAAATCATTCAAGCATATTTATAATTATTGTGTATGTTATTTGTTAGCTTAACTTCTAGGAACTGCCAAGTGCAATAGAGGGACCATAGTTAAGGCCCAAGTGAAGTAAATATATAAATAAAATTATGTGGGTTTTTTTAAATGTAGGAGATTGTTGATTTGTTTTGTTGTTTTATATATATGTGTGTTGCTATGATGTACATGTATATTGTATATTAATCATGAGATGAGTTTGTTCTGTTATCTGTTTATCTTACTTTGTATATAATTTACCTGTTTTGTATAAGTTGCTTTTTGTAGCACACACAGTACAATAAAATTGCTAAATAAAGTCACTTAGATTTTATTATTTAGAAATACATTCTAATCTTATCTACATTATTACTGCTTCAAAATTGTTTAACTTCACATTTTTTATGCGCCTTGTCTGGGAATAGCTGTTAAAACAAATATATTAGGAGCAATTTAATAGATTAAAGCAAGTGAAAACAAAACTATCGTGGATCATTATTCTAACTGGGAACTTACATAAGTTTTCTAGGGAGGTGCTTTGTCCTTTTTGTTGGAAGTTGTGACATTTTTTTTTATAAATCTGAGTGAGTAATTTGCTTTTGCTGTTTATTTATTTTTATTATTGATCCAAGATAGATCTTCACTTATTATTACGGCCTAAAAAATGCCTCTGTGGATTTTTAGTATTTACTCCATGGACGGATCCTATTCCCAGTTTTCAAGACTGTTTAGATCTTTTTGGAGGGTTTGGGCATCTTTGATTGATTCAAGCCAAATGTAGATTACTACAAAACATGCACCCTTCTAAATTTACATTTATTAATTTATTTATTAATTATAACGCCAATAAGATTGCATACCTATATTCTTTGTTCTTTCTCTTTCCTTGTTAGAAAATACTTTCAATGTTTACAGATGAAATTTAACAGAACTATAAAGAGACACAAACATCTTGAATGAATGAATAAAGACAGTACACAACACCTTCAAAACAAGTACACAACACCTTCCAAACATTGAAAATTTTATTATAAAGCTTGAATTCTATATAGGATAACTTGATCAATCATTAAAACGTTTTGCCTAAGATTAAAACCAGTCAGTTTAAACAAAGTCAAATTTCAGAGAAACACCCTTTTTAGGATAACTGTAAGAATAATTGCCACTGCAAATAATAGAAATCCAGTACTACCAACGTGTTATTGTCATCATATAAACACAGCATATTTATAAAATATGATTTATCAAAAAATGTTATCTATTTCTTCTTCTTGAACTCGAAAGGATTAACGCGTACTATAGTTCTGAACTGATTTGGTTGAGATTGTTGATTTCTTTGGG